TGCCGATGAAACTGCCAGAGAGCCTGCTTCTGAGCAGACGCCTCTCCTTCGGGATGCGCCCGATGCCAATGACCATACCCCACTACCCCAGGAACCCAGTACCAAAGAGCTGATTTGGATCCTCGGGAGCATCTGGCTCGGTGTCTTCCTAGCTGCGCTCGGTATCGACTCAGACTCTTTCACGAGATACTAAATTATTAACTTCAACTTCTCTTACAGATACAACGATCGTGGCAACCCTTTCAGCCCCCATTTCTTCGTCCTTCAACTCATTCTCGCTGCTCTCGTGGCTAGCCACCTCTTATCTGATCTCCAATGCCGCCTGCCAACCTCTCAGTGGCCGATTGACAGATATCTACTCTCGTCGTTGGGGACTTGTGTTCTCCAACATTTTCTTTGCCCTTGGCAATTTGATCTGTGGCCTAGCAAGGGCACAATGGGTTATCATCCTTGGTCGCGTTGTGGCAGGTGTCGGCGGAGGCGGTCTTACTGCGATCTCGACTTTTGTCACTTCTGACTTGATCCCTCTCCGCAAACGAGGCATCTGGCAGGGCATCGGAAACATCTGCTACGGTGCCGGCATGGGACTTGGAGGTGTGTTTGGCGGGTGGATCAACGACACTCTGGGATGGAGATGGGCGTTTCTGCTCCAGGCTCCCTTCCTGGTGATCTCGTGCATTCTAGTCGCAACTAAAGTCGACATTCCCGTGAAAGAGTCGGATACCGCACGCATCAAACGCGTTGACTTCCTTGGCGCCATCACTCTGGTTCTAACACTGGTTACATTATTGCTTGGCCTCAACACCGGCGGAAACCAGGTGCCCTGGACCCACCCGCTGGTGCTGATATCGCTGGTTTCCTCTGTTTTCTTCCTGAGTTTGTTCATCTACGTGGAAGCTCAGGTTGCTTCTGAGCCTGTCATTCCCGTGCGCCTTCTGCTGGACCGCACCGTGGCAGCTGCTTGTCTAACCAATTGGTTCAGTACCATGGCTGTGTTTGGCCTCCTCTTTTACCTACCCGTGTATTTCCAGGTGCAGGGATTTTCTGCAACTGCTGCCGGTGCGCGATTAATCCCGCAGGCGATCGGCACCTCGATTGGCTCTTTAGGATCAGGTCTTATTATGCGCGCCAGCGGTCGGTATACATTCCTTAATTACGTTGCCATGGCTGTCCAGGCTCTCTCAGCTGGGCTGATCTGCACTTTGAATCTCTACACGCCTGTGGAACTGCCGTTCCTCTATTTCTTTTTGGCCGGTGCATCCTATGGTAGCATGCTAACCATTACCCTGGTAGCGCTCATCTCTTCTGTAGACCACCAGCACCATGCTGTGGTGACATCTGCTTCATATGCCTTCCGCAGCACTGGCAGTACGATTGGTATCACAGTCGCTTCGGCTGTCTTCCAGAACACCCTAAAGCTTAGGCTTTGGTCTCGACTCGGTGAGCGCGAGGACGCCAGGGAGCTGATTGAACGGCTTCGAGATAGCTTGGATGAGATTTGGAGGGTGCCCGCAGACTTGACCCCTGGAGTGCTTGATGCATACATGAACTCCTTGCGGGCGGTATTTGTGACATTGCTGGGCCTGGCCGTCCTGGGAGCATTGACGAGTTTCGCTATGCGAGAGCAGAAGCTGCACAACAACCTAGCCCGACGATAGAGTGGTTGATCATTCAGGCACTAGTAGAAAATTGTTCGAGGATCATTATATAGATCAGCATGTACGCAAAGCGCCTGGGGGTTGATCCGGTTCAACTCCCTTTTGTCCTGCGGTGCCAGGACTCGCATTTCAATGTTGAACTAATTGACCAACACTAAACAAGAATTCTTGAAAGTTGTACTAAGAGTGTGCGCAAGTTGATCTTAGGCATTGACCGCCTCTGCCCAACAACTCGCCAATCAGTCCGAGCTCCTTCTGTACGGCCACGTCTTTAACCACCATAGATCCTCGAAATAGCATTTTGGCTCTCTGTCATTGGTGGATCTCCCCCGCCCCCTCGAAAGAATCTCAGCACTTTTCCTTGTGAAACTACACTATTCCTTCGGCCGCTCATCACATCGCATGTGGCAAAGACGTGGCGACGCATCCAGACAACGCAACGACCTCACCGCTCTAGGATACCAATTGATCGCCGTTGCACAAAACAAAGCGCCAGTCCCGATTTTAATTCCTGGCTTGCAAGATTGGACCTGATCAGACCACCAGTCTGATAACTTATCACTTTGTACAGTCCCGGGAGTTCCCAGTTAACCTTGTTTTATCGCCTCTCGACCTCGATTCTCTCTACCATTTGCTCCTGCCTATACCCTACGAGATTACTTCTATCCGACTGCCTTATCCTCATACAGTTCAGCCCATTTTGTCGGTCATATTGGCATGATAGTTGGAAGCCGACCTAATATCATACAAATTAGAAAAGGCAACACCATTACAAAGGGGTTGTGGTCAAGTGATATGGAGTTGGATGGAGGCTGTAAGGAAACCGTGAATGGAAACAAAGCGGTGCAAAATGCGACATTGTCCCAATCTCGCCGCCGCCGATTGCTCTTGTCGACGGATAGTGCTTTCGCCGATACCGTCCTCCCGTCCCTCGTTCAGAACCCATACATCGAGCTACGCCTGATTACCGACGAACCCTCCGCTTTGCTCACGGGTACCAACAAGATTCCGCACTATATGGATACGGTCGACAGTCAATCATTCGATAAGAAAACCGGTGCGGGAAAATGGCTCAAGGCGAAGACGGCGGAGTTGTGTGAATGGGCGGACATGCTCTTGGTAGCGCCCATCGATGCCGGAGCTCTGGGGGCGATGTTAGCCGGCTTGACAAATACTTTGACGTTGGCGCTTCTTCGTGGTTGGGTCTCGAAGAAACCAGTGATCCTCATTCCGGGAATGACGGTGTCAGAATGGGATCACCCGCTTAGCGCTCGGCAACTCGATGAAATCAGTCGTTTTTGGCCTTGGATTCGCACTGTCAAGCCCGTACTCTGGAAGTCAAACGGACCTGAAGACCTGACAATACTACCATGGGACGGCCTGAAGGAGCTACACCAGACACTGGAGACAACGTTAAAAGTACCGCCATGGGAAGCTACCCTGTCGGCCAGAGCAATCCCCCATGGAGCCACGGTCCCGGCTAAGACTGCATCGAAATCTACATCTGGAAATGCCACCGGCTCCACGCCCCAAACGAAACAAACAGGCAATGCCGACTTTTTGCCACTAGAAATCTGGCTGAATGTCTTTGAGGATCAACTGCAAGACTGGGAAACGGCGAAAGCTGTCGGCATTCCAACTCATCTTCCTGTCCCCCAAGAATGGCAAAGCCATCTACCCAAAATGTCCACTACAGCCTCACTCGAATATACGATCTTGCGAGGATCCTTCGCCGCAATCAAAAAACGCATTGATGCGCTGCCTCGCTGGAAACCTCTCTCCGACCTCGCTTGCCATCTTATTGTCAAATTCTCCCGTACTGACATTCTTTCTTATCTTACCGAAAATCACCTAGACCTGCTCTGGACAACCTCTCGACTCACAAATATTCCATACCGAGCATCCGCGATCTACGGCAACCCAAACGTACTTACGTGGTGGCGCGATGCCCCCGCGCTCCCAAACAAGGAGTACATGGCCGACGCCATGGACGGCGCCTCTCGGGCCGGTTTCATCAACGTACTAGATTGGTGGCTCCGCTCCGGGCTCCCGCTACGATACAGCGAGCGTGCCCTTGAAGCCGCCAGCGCTGAAGGTCGCATCCATGTACTCGACTGGTGGAAAACCGCATCCGCCAACGCCCCGCTGTCCAGCCCTTTACCCCTCAAAGTCGGAAAATCCGTCCTGCTTGCAGCGCAGTCGGGCCGCACCGCATCCCTAGCTTGGTGGGACGCTTCAGGGATCCCATACAGCCATGCTGAGAACGTCGCCCGCATCGCGAGCACGCACGGTCATGTCCATGTCCTAGAGTTTTGGTATAGGCTAAAAGGCCCGAAGATGATCTTCGATAACCAGGTGCTAGTGGGCCCAACGAAGAATGGCCACGACCACGTCTTACAGTGGTGGAAATCCTGCGGTATGCGGGTTGAATTCAAGACTTGTGATATTGAAGAAGCGCTTGAGGATGCTGATCCAAGCTCTGGCGCTGAGGGTCGTGTTCGGCGTTGGTGGGAGCGGAATGGGCTGAATCTTGGGGTTGGCACGAGTGAGTGGATGAGATCGAAGGTTCTGTGAGAATTAATTTTTGCATCACCGCATGGCTGGTTTGCGGTTTTTCGTCTTTTGGCGTCTTGGGAAGGGACTCATCTTTCCTTATCTGTTCATACGGTTGCGTTTTGTTCTTTTTCATATCATGACTCCGGTTGATGACGACCTACAATACCCATTTGAAGATTCACAACACTATCATTTTCATCGCGCATGAGAGCTTCGATTTTGTTCGGATGCTCTCATGGAACATATCTTGTCTGCGTGGTTCAAATTGAATCAACTTTTTACATATCTTTCGGTTAGAGTGATGAAATAACTCCATAATTCCATCTCAACGTGGTATAATACTGATTTCAAAGAGAAAAATACATAATTCGAGCGTGAGAAACTCTGCCATCCCCTCTCTATATTCAGCGTCAAATTCCCCGAAGGCCTCGGAATGGTCCCGGGCCTTGTAATTGCTGAGTCAAGGCCTAGCCCACCGCTGTGACTAGACTCCACCGGTAAATCGCAACCACCCAACATCCAACACAACCAATAAGTTGCCGATTAATTATGCTGATGCTGGCACGCTGGGTCTTGCGACGCGCCCTGAGTGGGTTAAATGCAAGAGCAATATCAACCTGCACGCGACAGCCATCACCTCCTTGTCACAACATATCATCAAGTAGCATCAATGGCCTGCGCAGCACCACAAGAAAGAGACCGAGTGTCGCTCAAAATCTTCAATCAAAGGTCCAATCACGAAGTCTAATCACAGCCGTTGTTCCAAGCTTCGCTGTGCCACCTCTCATGTTCATTGGACTCCTCCTCGGTCTATGGACCTGGAAATGCTTCTGGATTGTTATCCTGCAAAACAAGCTTCTCTACCTCTCCTGGTTGCCTCCATTCACAAGATCTGAGGTGATTTCAGACTATGAGGCTGAGTGCAGGTCTGTGTTATGGGAGGAGAAGCAGATTCGCAGTTTGGATGGGACTAAATTGGCCGTTTGTGAGGGCCACATTCCGGTTCCTCGCAAGGACTATGAGTCTTTTTCAAATTCGGGTACTTTACCGAATTCCGATCAAGGGAAATCAATCCCAAAACGGATTAAGTCCGTTGTGTTGTGTTACTTTCAAGGCAATGGTGGCTCGACCCCTATGCGGTTGCCAATTCTCTCTCATGTCTTGCGCGCAATTGTGGAAACATCAAGGTCAGCTTCATCTATGTCCGGTACTGAGTTCTCTCAATATACTATCGCTGCGTTATCATATCGTGGCTACTGGACGTCATCTGGTCGCGCCACACAGTCCGGTATTGAGATGGATGCCCAGGCATTCTTGAATTGGGTTTCGAAAACATACGTGTCTCCAGAAACCGATCTTGAGATTGTAGTTTGGGGACACAGTCTAGGTGCTGCTGTTGCAAGCTCAGCAGTATCTACGTACATTGCCCTTCAACATGAGGGGCAAACTTTCTCGAACACGAGCAGCAACAGGCCACTGGCGCCCATTTCCGGACTCATTTTGGAAGCGCCTACTTCCAGTATCAAAGATATGCTCATCAGCCTTTATCCTCAGAAATGGCTTCCTTACAGGTATCTTTGGCCGTTCTCTTGGAACACTTGGGATATTAAGGCGAAGATGAATCAAATGGCTACATGGAGAGACGACCGACCAAGGTCTCAAACCCCTAAATCTGAAACTACGCAACTAAGACCTCGCTCACTTCCGCCGATTTTTCTTCTGTCTGCCGAAAAAGACGAAGTGATTCCACCGTATGTACCAGATCAATTAGAAAAGCATGCCAAATCCCTCGGCTTGAAGATCGAGAGGAAAGATGTCCTCGGTGCCATGCATATAGAGGCACCACTCAAACTGGATGGCAGGAAAGCAATGGTACAATTTATCGTCAACGGCACATCCGTCCCCAAGACATAACATATTAACCTCAAGATGGATACCAGATAGATGAATGATAGTGTACACACACTTACTTCTATATCTTAACATGTACATGCCTATCATCTGCGCCTGTTTCTAACGCCCTGATATTCTCAAAGTCGTTGGAAGCATCAGACTCTCCGAAAGCAAAATTGATCCTGGACTTTCCCCTCCCCTCTGAAAAGAAAAAACCTACTCACCCTCGCCCTCTTTATCGAGACGCCACGCATCACAGGAAGAGAACGGAGCCGTGTAGGCATTCAAGGGAGACACAGAATCCTTGAACACAACGTCAAATTCATCTTTCTTGCCCGGCTCGATAAATCATCGGGTTATAGCGAGAACAGTTGTATCTAGGGGGATTGTGGAGGTAGATGGCTGGGTCCGTTTGCCTATATTTCTTGATAAGACACCTTGAACGACGAAGTTAGTTCACCGTCAACAGTGAGAAAATCCCACATCAAGGTCCAAGTGAAACACCCAGCTAACATCAAGACTAAGTCGCCAACCGCGCAAGAGGGTTTTGGTTCAGTTCGGATGAAAGCCATTGGCCTTCGCCTGTGTGTTTCTCGACAGACTCCCATCCACTTAGCAGATAAAAGGAGTCAGGTCTTTGATCTGGCGCAGGTATGTGACCTGATGCCTAGAGAATTCTGTCTGATTGTTCCGGGCTTTTAAGAGGGACCCTTTGGTAGAATGGGAGGCGTCTTGCGCTTTCAGGCGGAGGATGGCGAGTTCGGTCACGGGCACTTTGTCTTCGTTTTGGATAGATGGCCTGTTTGTGGTGCTTAGATGGGGAGTATATCTGGGTTGGCCTTGATTGCTGGGGCTGCCTTGTTTATATAGGTCTATTTAGCAAGCAGAGCCAGGGTGGGGAGCTTAGTAGGCAGCTGTTGGAGCCGCCATCTAGACGATGCTCGATGTGATTTGCCTAAATGGCCATCGTCCGATCTGTTTCATGTACAAACGCTACTGAGTTTGTCGCCGTGTCTTGGGATGTCGGACATTAAGGCTACAAGCTAAGGTTTTCTTTCAAATGAAGCCTGTGCATATCTTCGCCCCGGAATTTGAAAAAGGGTTCACAGAAAATAAAAAGCAACCAATGTCCAATCTATCTAAGAATATACACATCCAGGACGCCAGCGATCAAAATGGATGTTCCCCTTTCAACGGGCACGATAGCCAATGGCCTTGGGCCAAGCACAAGGCCAGACAATGTGTGAAAGAAACCGAAACCGCAAAGCGCAAAAGCAAAGAGCCCGAACTTCAGCGTTGTACACATGGATCAGACTCCTTTCCTGTAGGGATATTAATAACACAAAGGGTAGCAGAGTTGAAGAATGACCTACCAAGTAAGTCCAGGTGTCTAAATGGCCTGGGACTTGATTGCATTCCTGTCCCCAAATGGATTATCGTCATCATCCTCTTCTTCTTCCGATTCACTCTCACTGTCAAAGATTTGGCGTGTGTGTTGCGATGAAGATGCAAGAGGCAGGCTAACAGGACGATTCGGCCGTGGCGGCTTTGCGGGATTGATGCTAAGCCCAGCAAAGCCGTCATTCACGTCCGTGTCGTTCAGTCCAAGTCCATGTCTTTGCTTCCAATTGCCTTCCAAAACGTCGTCCTCGCTGTCACTGTCATAGTCCACACTCTTGTCTAGCACCTCGAATGCCATTAAGGCATCCACCAGCTCCTCGTTTGCATGGATCAGGCCGCCCAGGAACTCTTCCGTTTCTATGTGCTGGATATATCGAAGGATCGTATGACGAAGCTCCTTGCATTTTTCGAATCGGTTACTGCATTCCGCATCATCCCCCACTCGGTGCGTCTCGCGATTGACGTGTTTAAGAGCATTCAACAGGTTGGTGCTAGCAACGGAAGAAGCAGCAAGCGCTTGCAATATCTCCGGGCGCTCCTTTTCCAGATCAAACCTCCTGTAGCTAATTGATAGTTTCTTATCTTTCTTGACTTTCTTGGGCTTGGAGTTTTCTTTGGGGCTGGTCAGCAAAGTGGAAGGTCCACTGCCCCCTGACACGGATACAACATGACCCATCACTGGCAGTTCGTTTGAGCTCGACCCCTCGCGGAGAACCTTGGCTTTGGCCTGCGTCGCAGGCTGCTTTCGCTTGGGAAGTTGCTTGTATAGCGCCGTGACCTTCGCCATTCCAGGAGTATCCTTATAAGTTGTCGCCCATTGTCCGAAAATCTGTTTGCATTTCTGTTTCACGAGTGGATCCGAAACGGAATCAGTCGCTGCAATTCGCAGGCGTTCGAGCAGTGCCTCATCGGCGAAATCGAGCAAGAAGCGTTCTCCGGCATTTTGAACAAGATAGTCGAGAATTGTAAGCGCACGCAGTTGTCGATGGACATTGCCATATTTTCTGGACTGGTCAGGCTCATTTTCAGCACCATCAATCCTCGCAAACTCACAGCTTCTTGCGGAGAGCCCGACTTGCTTCCATAGGGCCGCTGGCCTGGATGCGAACTACTTCCACTAGATCGACAATGCCGCTTGAGTCTTCGACCTCATATTGTTCACTTGTAAGGACCTCAATTTGTACGGTCACTGCCGAATATGGTTTCTATAAGAATACACATCAGTTAGTGTCGGAAACGTGTGTAATCTGCACCAGGTAACTTACGGAGGATTGGAACATTCTGGCCTATTCAAAGGGGATAGCCCTATGGAACAGCGTATCCTTGTTTTGAGCAGAAAGTCAGGGGAATCGAAAATTGTCGCTAGTGCAAAACAGCCCACTATCACCCCACGCTGCAATGTCGGTATAAATTTGACCCCACCGGGGCTTGTTTACACAGGCGTTTCGCAGGGATTAAATAAAAAGATTTAAATCATCGGCGGTGATAGTACAGAGTTGGGTCGCTAAAACAGCCAGAAAAGAATTAACAATGTGAAGGACAACATGGGGGTCCAGGGAGCTTTCGCGATACCTTTCCGTGATGTTCGTGACGTCGGAGGCCCTAGGGGGTCTTGGCGCCCGTTGATCTGATAAGCGCAACGAAATGTGGCGCAAAAAGAGATTATGTAGCCAGTTCCTAGTTTGTTCAAATAGGCACTGAGATTGCAAGGCCTTGCTATAGGGGAATAGGAAGTCCAAACAATGCCGAGACAGTTTAAGCTTATCGGCTCCTCGTGACTATCCCAGCCCAAAGGGGATTAGGGCGGGGTCTCATGCCTGAGGCCAAATACATGAGAAAGAGGCCATTCATCGCCATCAGCAAACTAGAAGCAACCAATAAGACTTTGAGAAAGCAATTGTAGTCAAGCCTGGCTACAATTCTTGCTAATTGATTTCGGATGAAGCGTTTTTCTGCGCACCGCGCAGATCCATCCCCACGCTCCTATTTGTTACGCATACTGTCCCGCTTCGTGGTGTGCTCCACCCTCATTCTAGCCGTCGGCGTGGCTCTGAAATCACGCTATCGTCTTTCCCTCCTCCTCCCACACCTCACCCCCAACCAGCCTATAATCATGTCTTACCAACAGGAACGTTACATCGCCGAATTGGCCGTCCAGCGGGCGTGCCTCCTTACACAGAAGGTCTTCTTCGAGAAGGCCAAGGGCACAGTTTCCAAGGATGACAAGTCCCCCGTCACCATTGGCGACTTCGGCGCTCAGGCCCTTATCATCTCGGCCATCCGTAAGAATTTCCCCAACGACGAGATCGTCGCCGAGGAGGAGGCTAGCACCCTGCGTGAGGACAAAGGCCTCAGCGCTGAGATATGGCGCTTGGTCAAGGACATCAAGCTGGACGATGAGGAGAGCGATAATATACTGGGTGGCTCTCTCACCAGTGAGCAGAGTATGCTAGACATTATTGACAGCGGCAACAGTGCCGGTGGTCCCAAGGGCCGCATCTGGGCCCTCGATCCCATCGACGGCACCAAGGGCTTCCTCCGTGGCGGCCAGTACGCTGTGTGTCTCGGTCTGATGGTTGACGGTGACGTCAAGGTCGGTGCTATTGGTACTCCTAACCTCCCCATCGATGATGCTGCCCCCATTGATGCCAGCACCGGTGCCCAGCAGTCTGCGACTGCCGGAAATGGTGTCTTGTTCTCTGCTATCCTGGGTGAGGGTGCCACCAGCCGTCCTCTAGCTAGTGGTACTCTTGCTGCCAGCAAGCCCATCTCCATGCGCCCCGTCGCCAAGATCTCCGACGCTGTCTTCTGTGAAGGTGTTGAGGCTGCTCACTCCGCCCAGGGCGACAATGCTGCCGTTGCTCAGCTTCTTGGCATCACTGCCCCCAGCGTGCGACTGGATTCGCAGGCCAAGTATTGCTCCATTGCCCGTGGTGCCGGTGATGTCTACCTGCGTCTCCCCGTTAAGAAGGACTACCAGGAGAAGATCTGGGATCACGCCGCTGGTGATTTGATTGTGCGCGAGGCTGGTGGCCAGGTGACTGACATCTACGGCAACCGCTTGGATTTCAGCAGGGGCCGGACCTTGGCTATTAACAAGGGTGTCGTTGCTGCCCCTAAGGCCCACCAGGACCAGGTCATTGATGCCGTCAAGAGTGTTCTGAAGCTGTAATTGATTTAAGATTTTTAACTTCGTCGCCTCGTCCATTGCACTTGAGCTCCCGGGGGAGCAGAATCAGTCTGAAGTAGATTTGTGATACCAGCGCTTGTGAGAAGAATAAAAAAAAAATACATGTGTGACGATGAGAGTACAAAACGCGGAACCAAGCACAAAAAAATCCCGCGTAGCTGAAAAGAAATGCGCCTCCAGTCTATTTGATCTTCTTTGCCTTGAGCTTGATCGTCTCTCCGTTGACGAAGATACCTTTGCCCTTGTATGGCTCGGGGCGTCTCCATTCTCTGATCTCGGCTGCGAATTGGGTCACAACCCGCTTGTCGACACCCTCCAACAAGATTCTGGTAGGCTGCGGTGTGCTCGCAACAATGCCCTTGGGAATGCCAAGTTCAATTGGGTGAGAAAAGCCGACCTTGAGGGAAACGAACTTTTGGCCGGGGAAGGCGGCTTGAACGGTGGACGCCTTGTCTTCGATGGTGGCCCTGTAACCGACACCAACCATACTCAAGACACAGACGTGACCTTCGGAGACGCCGAGGATGTGATTCTGTAGGAGTGCGCGAATGGTTCCTAGATAGAAAAGCAAAGCGTTAAACACCAATGGCTTGCCGCGGAGAAAAGACAGGAGAACATACCCCACATAGCACGCTGGTGAGGAACTGTCTGATCCAAAACTGACAAACTAGCCTTCTGGCCTGTCTCATCGGGGGTAATAGTGAGGAAGGAGGGAATTTTCAGGCTCATCTCGCCTGTGAAATGGACTAGTTTTAGCACCCATTGACCAGTCCACATTTCAGCCGTAGCACATTACCCTTGGGCCCCTTAATCTCGGCCATAAACTTGGGAATGTCCTTTCCTCGTGTGCGGGTGAGAGTTGCGGGGAGATCGATGAGCTTAAATGAAACCTCCGGGGGGATGGAGAGCGCAGCACCTCCGACTCGGGACTGCGCCGGGGATGTGGTCGAGAAGCATTGTGTGCGGGGGGAGAAGGCGGGCGCAAGAAAGATGGGTAAGGAACCGCGCTGGAAGGGCTCTCGAAGAAGCTGGCGGGCGCAGCGTTGAGGTATGGAGCACGACATGGTGATTTGCGCGTGTTGAGTCGGATGCTATGTTGCGGACTTTGGATTTTGTTCGCAGATTGGTTACCTTAATAGGTTTAGCGTGCACGTGATTTCCCCCACATCACTTTCATCCAAAGTTCCTGCCAAGTTTTTTCCATGTATACTTAATTATGCTCTCGACCACAGTGTATATTGTGCCAGTTTTTTATCTCAAAATATGACTTCAGGATGGAGATTTTTCATTGGATGCGTCTGTTGCCAAAGGTTGTTGAAACCTGGTGCCAAGAAATCCAAACACTCGAGGGCCTCTCGAGTCCGTCCTCCCATCCTACATAGCCAAATGAAAGACAACGACCAAGTAACACAATTTATCCTGGTTGATCCCACAGTATTCCACTTTATCTCTAACGACGCATATATCTCCATTCAGAAACGGACATTCCTGAAGATACAGAATCTCTGCCTAGGCCTAACACAGATGAGGCTCCAGAGCCCGAACATCACCACCAATTCAGAATTAATATCAAGCTCGTTCCCAACCGACTCTTCCTAGGTGCTCGGACATGTTGTCCATTCGATTGATGGACAATCAAATGAGCACGGAGATATATGGTGCGTGTCGATGTGACGCATCGAAGCCGGTTTTCCGGAGAAAGGACTGCGGTATGTGCAGTCTTTCCAATGGCATCGGAAAATGTCATTGAAGTTTCTTAGAATAGACAAATTGGTATAAGTGTCGAAGCTTGATGATGAACCCGGAGGTTGCTCACCCCTGCTTCTGCTGTCGTCCTTGATTACAACCAGAGGGCTCTTTCCCTTGGTATAACTATCGCTGGTAGATTTCCCCTCAGATTTCTTTTGGGCAGATGAGGTAGATGCCGTTAGATCGGTGCAAGCGGTGTTGTGCCTAGGGCCGACATAGCCCAATCCCGAGGCCGTAGCTGCATAGTAATTATCGACTGGGGTTTGGTGCATGGCCTTCTGGTAAAAGTGGCACAGATCGGAACAAGTCGAGGTCAAGGTAGAAGATACAGCAAAGCTAGGTGCAACGGATGCAATGGGATACTGTTTGATATGGGTAGATCGAAGAGGATCTGCCTTTGCTACTGCAGTTGCTATAATCGGCTCCATCAGTATAGAGGTAGATGATTTTATAGACACCAGGAGCGAATTGAGAATGATTGAATTCCCTAATGGTCCAGTCATAACCATCTGGCATTCGTAAAGAATCAAAGTAAGTGTTGCCAGAAGACCATGCCATGCTAGAAGACTATGATAGAAAAAGAAGTAAACGAAACGAACGAGCAGGCAAATCAAACAATATGCTGAGTACTTGATCTGAATTAGAAGGAATCGGATGTTCCGATAATAGCTCCTTGTGTTGAAAAGAGGAAGAAAAGAAGAAAATAGGTCGAATCTGAGGTTGACTAGGAAATTCTGAGATTTACTAGAAAACGCTGTTTTCCCGCCTGCAACCACCTTTTATATTCGTCCAGTCGGCTTGATATTTGCAAGGTTAGAGCCGTCGATGTTAGCTTTATTGAAAAGTTCAACGCTTTCTAACGTTGCAACTGTCAGATGAGGATTGCCCCAAGGTTTTGTCTCATTGGTCTACTACTCCGGTTCCTCAATAGGTCTGCATGGTAGCCCGGTTACACTAATCACATATGTTAAGATGTATGGACTGCATGCTGGCACAGAGATCACCCTAGTAAAAGGACTAATTCTTTTCAGTCTATGCCTCTTTCACAAATGTAGACGAAAAGAGATTCAGTGGCATAATACTTGTTCGGTTTCGATGTGTATTCATCCACATGTGACTGGGACTAGAGGAAGGCTGTGATTTTTACAGGGTATATGATAACAAGGAGATAAATGGGATTGCCAGGGACTTCATCTGAAGGAGTAAGATCTATGAAATGGTGTTTACTTTGGTTTCTGGGGAAATATCCCGTGTTGGTTTGAAGTACCATGTGGCATCCGTACCTGAATCCTATAGACTAGCGACCGTTATAGTTGAATAAAAAAGAAGGTGAAAATCTATCGAAGCTAAAAACCGAGTACTGAGACGAAAAATGTCCAGGAATAAGTAAAGTGAGAGTTCGGCGCGAGCCAAACATATTGGATGGCAAGTCTCACATCCGAAATCACTCATTCTTTTCTTTCCCTCTTTTATACCGCTTTTCTCGCAACATACACACGAGTGATCAAGAACCTGGGCATATCCAAAGCCACGCCCATGCACCAAACCAAGTAGGCCATTCACCATGAGGGCAATCGATTACTTTCAAGTGCTGTCATATACCTTCCTCGCACTTTCGCCGCTCAGTCATGCGAGTGCCTCCCAACACAGTAAGGCATTGAGATAAATTGCATATCATTCTACTTACACAAGAAGATGTCCCAGTTCTTGCGCCCAAGACACCAGATGTCGACGCGATCTCTTTGCTCAGTTCCCGAACGCAAGACCATGACAGTATCTTTAACGAAGCTGTCAAGATTCTGGACTCGATGAAAGCTTCACCCTCGTGCAATCGGCTAGCGGCGACTAAACTAGTGGACTCGTGTCAAACATTCAGCGATGGCAAAGACAGCACGCAAACGGAGAGCCCAGAAAGGCTCGACCTTTTTCGATCCGTTTATGCCGCACGGCTAGCATTATGTGAAATTGACGGTACTGGCACCCCAATGCCTCCGTCATGCCTTCCTGTTACCGTGTCACCACCTCCACAGAAGAATCGATTCGGCTTTCTGAGTCGGCACAGAGGCTCTGACTCTGTTTCGGATGAAGTCCCAAAAGAACTATTGGAGCAGTGTCTCAGAACACTTGAGTCACGACCCCAGTGGTGGACTTCTTACAGCAACAGCCGACAGAATGCTCTTGTGATCTGCCATGCTTCGCGAATCGAGACAGAAAAAGAGGAGCTTCTTGACCTGCATCGGTCCATTGCCAAGAGTAGTCTCAAGCTCAACATCGGGATTCAAGAGGCTTTGCAGAATGCAACTGCACAGTCTGCACAGCAGCACTCATTCATCCAAGCTGTTCAATCTCTGCAGGAGAAGATCGTGGCCGAAATGGAGGTGACGAATTCAGTTTTCAAACGAACATTCAACAAATTTCTCCAAGAAATCGAAGCTGGAATATGGTCTCTCCAAGATTCTATGTCTGTGGCTTTGTCAAATGTGCGGACTGGAACAGGGGTGCTTGAAAAGGTAAAGTTTGAACAAACCAATCGAAATTAAAACATCTACTAAGTTTCAACTAGGACATCCTTGATGTAACGACTCAAGTGGGAGCCCTTCAACAGGCGCTGCGAACGGCCCAGCAAGATGCAATGGCTAGAAGCCAAGAATCGCTGCTGGTCCAAGAAACGAATGCTGTCGCTCAGAAAGATCTTGCATCGTCTTTACACCTGTCGCTCGAGTCGATTTTGAATTCAGATATGGACCGAGTTTACCGAGGCATGCAGAGGTTTGATGCTGCTATGGTATGCCAAATCTCGATGTGTCCCTTGGTGGATACTGTGAAACTAACCTTTAACCATCCTTTGTAGGAATGGTTGACTAGCCGTATGAACATGGTCCTTGAGCAGGAAACCAGGCTAACGGAGGTACGAGTGAATTCCCCACATATTGAGTCCCTCATTGACTTTGCAAGCGACTTCAAAACATGGAAACATTCATCCAACAATCCGAATCAAAAGCAAGCGAGTTACAAAAGGCCCAGAACCAACAAATAGAAGCACTCTCTGCACAATCGCGGGCCCAGGAGGCCATTCAATTTGACGCGCAAGTATCGCAAGCTTTGCTAGCCAAGACTAGTGTTGCGGCGGCCAATTTGCAATCGGTCATCGACGATGCAGCATTCAAGTTCAAGCATATCCCAGGTTTTGGTATCGGAGGATCCTCCGCATGGTCTCTTTGTGTTGTCCTGCTCACTGTCATCGCTTCCCAGAATCTTAAGATTGCAATCTCTTTACTTTTTCTCTTTTTGGGTACGTATGTCCTTCCTGATCAAGACTGGTTGCTAATACAAAGTGGCTTAGGGCATTCTGTTGCCCTGACCATCTTCAAATTTCTTTAGTTATATACACCCTGCGCAGTGATTTGCAGGCCAGATACCATTGATACACCGGCGTTATTTTCGTGATTTTCGTTCGTGCTTTTTCCTATTTTTTTGGTGCCTTTCATCTCTGCCAATTATGCCTGCATATCTTATGCTTGAAATCCATTTTTTATATCTAGGTCTATAGCAATGGAACAACCCAGTCTTCGACCCTTGAAATCACTCAAAGGAACAACGTATTTCCCTTTTCTGCGATATGAAACCAATTAGATAAATTGTTTCAGAAAAATAAAATGAAAGTGCAAACAAATTTCCGCCAGCACAGCCATAACTGGCCAGAGCCAAGCTAAGCTGCGGAATAGGTATCCATTTATGTGGCAAAGAACCAATAGACGCCTTCTCCTCTACGCATTGGAAATGACATAAGGGAAAGCCGACAGCATCGACGGGGAGAGTCACGTGGGAGTGAATCGACTGCGCGTTACTTCTCCTTTTCGTTCGCAACGCGTTCCTCATCGGATCTTGATTTAGATTTATCAAATCTCCATCTGATTCTGATCTCAAACTTGTCGATCAAAATGCCTGGTGTTCGTGAGTGATCCTAACGCATCCCTATACCCCCCCGACCCCCTATACTCCCGACCCAACATTTAGCGCCCCTCGGGACCCAAAGTACGCAGCGCTGATGTTTCTATAGCACCCGATGCTCTTGAGCAGGTCAAGAAGGGCTTCAAACGATTCTTCAGCCTTCGCAGGAAGGCTGCTAAAAAGACAATCGAACAGAAGTCCGAACCGGTCCCTGCTGCGACTGCTGCGACTGCTACCCCCGTCGCTGCGGCGGCGGCCAGTGAGACGCCTGCCGCGAAACCCACCGCCCCCGCTGCAACCCCGGAGTCTGTGCCAGGTATGTTATGACATTTTCTTATCTACTCCATATTTCGTATCAACTTCATCCCGTTTTTGGCCTCCAGCTAACTTCTTTGATTTAATGCAGATGCTGCTAAGGTGCCTGAGGCAAAGGGCGCAAGCACTGCGGAGCCCGTAGCCTCCCCTGAGATGACGGCTACTGCCGGCCCGGTCGAGACTCATCACGAACCTGAGGCTGCTGCTGCACCTGCAACTGCAACTGCAACTGTTGAGGCCCCTGTTGGTAAGCCCGAGGAGCCTGCTACTAAACCCGAGACCCCTGCTGCTGTGCCTGGGCCCACTGTCCAGCCTGAGCAGCCTGCCGTTAAGCCCGAGGAATCTGCTGTGAAGACCGAGGGGCCTGCTGCCGAGGAACCTGCTGCTAAAGTTGAAGAGTCGGGTGCTAAGGCCGAGGCCGCTGCTGTTGCGCCCGAGGAAGCTGCCGCCAAGACTGGTAAGTCGAGTTTCCCAACGATGCAGAGGAGAATGCTAAAATTAACGCTAGATGCGCCTGCTAAGTAGAATTGTGAATATCCACTTTACTGGCGAGTCTGATCTCACTCGCGAGTGCTTTTGTCCCGCTCCTTATTTTGTTACATACCCTCAGCGTTGTATATTAATCAGTTTTACAAAGCTATGCATTGCATACGTTTTCTTTCTATGTCGGCCTCGACCAGATTCACTCAACGTCGTCAAAAGCTTTGGTCATCCACTCTAGAATCCTTACGCGACAGTCAAACTCACCGCTTTAATTTGAACAAACACTCCCACGGGTATCACATTAAGAATATATCCTGATGCTAGGTAGTTTCATTCCTCCCCGCCCGAGGAATGATCATCACCATCAGCCATAGCGACATCTACAACGCTAACACCCGCCGCCGCAGCCTTCAGCTCTCTCGCCTTTTGTCTGCGCTTGAGTTTCCTATCGCGGTTCTTCCGAGTCCGCTTCTCTGCTTCGTTTTCCTTGGCAGCCTGTGCGGCCGCAACGCGCTTGCGCAGCTGCACTCGCCGCTTCTTGCCTGGTTTCTTGCGTGTAAGTGGGCTCTTCGAGATAGGTGCGCCCTCTGCCACGTAGACGGGAAGACTGTTGGCTGGCCGTGGCATTTTGGTCTGATGGCGCTTGAGATGGATGACTCGCCATGGGAGATGGCAGCCGGGCTTCAGGTCAACTTAGTAGCTATAAACTAGACACATGGATATTCACTTACCCAGACTAGCGAGTTGGCCCATGTCAGCACGTGCTGCCCGCTAACGGCCATTTCCTCGAATTGTTTCTTCTTTTCCGCTATCCGGATTTCGTCTTCAGAGGTAGGTTGTCCATTCCTTGTACCTTGGAGAGAAGGCGTAGAAAAGTAGTAATCCCATCCCCGGGAGGCTTTCACAAATCGTCCCTCAGTACCAGCGCCAGATCCCGGTGTGGGTGAATGCAGCCGAATCTTCAATTTCTGGGTAGTCGGAGCCTCTGTAATTTTCTCGTCTGTATCATTTCCAGGCTGCTTGGTGGTGTCTTCCGTTGATTTGGTGGGGGCGCTAAATAGGCGGAACTCAAATTCTTGTTCTTCGTCCTCATCCTCCGCAGGCTGTGAGGGATCAATGTCGTGGCTGGTTGTCTCCTGCGCAGCATCCAATTGATCGAGGTTAAGTAATTTCCCTAGGCGAGCGTATGCATCCTGGACGGCGGCATTGTCTGGTGCTGGTGATGGCGAGCGAGATGACTCTGGTGAACGCATCTCATCGCGGCGGACGCTGTAAAGCCAGGTTAGTTGCGGGGAACAGTGAGAAAAGCCCGAGTGAAGTGCTTGTTCACATACCGCTTGGCATTTGGTAGATCAAACATCGTGTGGTGTGTAGGGAGAGTTGCAAGACCAAAATGCCTGATCAAGAAAAACGGTGTTCCCACGCCGCTCTGCGGTCACGGCCTGATGACATGGCACGGACCCTCCAGCCTCGACTTCCGACTTCGAATGAGCCCTTTGATCTACACTGCGACTATCTACTGCGCCATTTGTTTTATTTCATATCCTCTGTTTTCTACATATTCTACACTTCCTATCTTCCGATAGTTTCCTCCCCTATTCCAACAAAGGAAACCCGCACCTCAACTATTGGGGTGATTAATGCCTCGTGCCCATCACACAACGCAAACGTGCAGCCAAGAACATCCCCGGTTCTGAATCCCCGATTCCGATCCCCATAAATGGGTATCTGTGCCTCCTGCCTTGGTGGAAATCGCCACGAGTCTCCTGAGGTGAGTCCCGAGTCTGGAGCTGGTTTCCCGTCACCATGTTCAGCGCACAGTGCCCAAGTCTGTGCGCGATGTGTGGGATGCTTGTGGCAGATTGCAGTTGTCTAACAATTCATTCTTCAAGCCTGAATCTTCACGTCTACTTGATGAGGACCCTTATCAAGCTGGATATGGCTATGGAGCACTCCACCAAGCTCACCAGGCCAGCCAGCCGGATTCGGAATATGTGAGACGTGAGAGAGAGGCGCTGGAATCAATCTGCCAGCGAACATCTGAGTGAGTATACAATAATAGTTGCCTTATCTTTCGCATACGGCAAATTAGCTTTTCGTGGAACTGAATGCATGGCTAATCACATCTCCCAGCTCCGTCATCGATATCTGGTCCATCCAACCACAACCACACCTTCGGCCCCAAGCCACTCTTCACACCCCTATCTCTTCATCTCCTGCTCCATCACAAAGAACAGAAACAACAACACTTGTTGCATCTACTCATCGCACGTCGCCGCCAAGCCGTCCCACCTCCGGCGCATCAGGCACCGTCCCAAAACACTGGGGTGAAGTTGTCGTAAACCCAAACAAGAAACGTTCTCGTACCAATATCAAAACGGATACTAAATTCAGCCATGATGTGTTTGGAGTCCTCAATGTCACCTAGGTCAAGGCGTTTGCGACATTCATCACTGCTCATTGACGCCGCACATTGACGCTGCGCATTGACGACACGACAAATGACAGTGCGGGCTGTGAGGATAAAATCAATGGATGCAGATAAGGGTACTGGAAGACCCATTTCATTACTTCCTCCTACTGCGCTGCGCTGTTATTTAAGGGATTTTTGTTTCTTGCGTTGATCGCAGATTGACTGTTTTTCGCACATACATCGTCGTTCCTTTTCCCTATCATCAAGGTCTAATAATACCCAATGGCGCGGACTATCTCTTTTGTTATCAAAATGTTGTTCATCATCCCATGTTGGTTTTTTTTTGTTGGGCGTGTTTTCCTATTTTTAAAATATGTTTCTTTGTCTTCACCTCATCTTGTCAGTTGTGCACTGCTCGCATATGTATTTTTTGTTTTCGATACCGGACTTTATCCTTGATTTTCACATAGACAGGATTGGAATTGAAGTTATCCAGTGAGTTGCTGTTAATCAGGAAAATGGGTGGATGTAGGCGCTAAAAGTGCTTATCCTTCCAGGGGGGGGGCCTGTGTCTTCATCAAGTCAACCTATATAGAAGTTTGGCTTCGGATGGGATGAGTTATGTATGAAAAAAATATTTCGAACCATCTATACAGTTGAGACATCATAGGGAAGAATCAAGAAAAAGGAATATTGCTTCCCATACCTATGAGAGATTCGGCATGAATTGTTCAATCCATGGCTCCGCCGAAATTTACTGCAAATGCTTCTTGGGAAGACCGAAATACACAATTGGTAAGAGAAGAAGAGGGACACAATTTGATGATTGATAGGGTAGAAATAAAACGGAAACATGACAACTCCCCTATGACAGAAAAATGAAAACGCCCGCTGATATCCAGTGCCAGGATGGACATAGTTGAGAGTTAGTTGATGCAATATGTGCGTACAGGGTCGATCCTAAACCTGACGGAAAGGCTCAGTTTGCAGACCATCAGACGTCGTCCATTGTACCCGCAGGCTCTTCGTTATCAGATTCGTAGCTCCCCGCCGAGCTTAGCTCATCTTCAGACTCGGTGTCTTCACCTGCCTCATCCACAGCCTCTTTGCTAGCGTATTTGGCAACATATTCTGGCAGTGAGTTATCAGTATCGCATATTAGCAAACAAAGGCCTTTTGATTGTATCGCACCTTTGACCTTTGCCTCATATGCCTTGGGTTCCCTCATCATAAGCGCTGCCGCCTCTCCGTTGAGAGGGTCCGAAGGATTGGGATACCGAAGGAGTTGAGGAAGGAAGACTTCAAAGATGTTGAGCATGTCGTACATGGGCGACCACGTTTGGTTGATCACGTCAAGGCAGACTGAGCCAGACCTAAGGCAAAAAAAAATACTGTTAAACTCCGATTTTTATTCCTCGTGGTGGAGCTTCCTTAACTCACAGCTCGTCGATATTTGGGTGGAAGATTCTGTTGACGAATCCTATGCTTGGGCTCTTGTATGGGTACTGGTCAGGCAATTCGACGTGGATTTTCCAGAGGCCTCCGTTGAATGGTGCTAGAAAAGTTAGTATGATCTAATACCGGTCGATTCTGAGCAAGACATACTTTCTTCCGGACCCTTGAAACGGACATAGAATTCTTGCCTGTTGGTAGTTATTGGCACCAGACGACTTCAAATGATTAATTGTAGGGTGTTTTAAATGCATACACTGAATTTCCGGAGTTAGCGAATAGATCCATAGCTGGAAGAGGACCGGAACTTACTGTTATCATTGACCAGAGTTACTTCATAGTCACTCATTAGCCTATATAACCTGTCAGAATATTCCCTGGCAATCAAGTATGCTAGCCGAGGCCGATCAAAAAGGTTGGGGAAAGCGGCGGCTGAATTGAAAGTGCAGGGGATTGTCAGTCGTACATCCTAGCCAAAGGTTAGTGCCGTTTATTTTGAACGTTGTCGGACTTGCGGAGCATACTTCATGACCTGCACAATGAACACAAAAATGTTGTTAGCATCTCCGACGACTCTGGGGCTTGTCAGACTATCCGCAACATTACTTACATCTGTCTCGATTCTGCGCTTTGGGCTACTCATGTTGGCGGTTTGAATAGAGCGGTCGATTTTTGATCTCGAATGTATCGTCGGTGACAGGCTTTCACAGAGAAAGCAGACCCGGCAATGTCAAATGTCGTGGTTCACAACCAGATATCGCCGGAGTTGAAGCGGGGAAGTAATGGGCGGGGCAGACAGTAGACTTTGAGATGGAAGTTAAGTGATTATAGGGTGATTGAAGTGTGTAAGGGAATCAAAGTGACGAAAGTAACAATTTTCAGATAATGCTTCACTTCTCGGACCTGAGACCAAAGGAAGAAAGAGAATGAGGTCTTGGATCAACGATCCAGGGCATGATGAGTCGATGAGTCAGCGGCTGCCGAGCCCGGCGCCATGACGATGACTGGGATAGGTGGATCCAAGCGTTGTCTGACTACCTAGGGACACTTGCTATACTACTATACAACACAAGAAGCGCATTTGTTCAACTCACCATGATATTGTTACCAAGGATAGACCTCCTTATGATGCACATCAGCAAACTCCAAACACGATTAAACAGGTCTAGGAGTTGCTAATTCTCGCAACCATTCAATATTTTGATGTTATTCCAAACATTTATGCACAACAAAGACAGAGAGGAATGCGTCCAATTGTGTAGAAATTAGGGTCCGATATCACTTATAATCAGCCACGCATGCAACAATAAGATACATTCAAAGATAGAGGCACAGATACCATTAGAAAGTCTGGGTCCGCCTGAGCGATTGAATGCACCTTTTTCATCGTGTGGCCTAAATAAAGCATTGTGTTCGGTCAGAACGTTTTTAGATTAAATCAATGATGGATGATGACACTGGTGGGCTGGATCAACAACAGAGTGCTCCATCACTCTCCAGTTAGGTTAGTCAAGATCACGTGAGTGTATGCTTATATAAGGACACACAATGCCCGCGGGTAGCCGCTCTCTGAGGTACCTAGCATGGAACCTCTACAACAGAGGGAGCCTATGCAAGTCAGTCAAAGATCATAACAACAAGCGGAACATCTGATGTCGCCGCACCGGTAACTACATAGCTCTATCTATCGCCGGGGAAAAGATATGCAGTTACGGCCGCTACAGAATTTGACCTTCTTTTCAACTAGCTATCAGTGCAACATTTTCAGTCACATTCCTCTATTAGGTCTATTATGACCGAGTCCTCTTCTGACTTCCAATGTTATGAGTGAAATGGGCCGTGCTTATCTTGAAGCTAGGAAAAAGAGTAGGCATTGTACCCTACTGATACTTGTGCCTAGTCCGAATAGGGAGCGGTCAAGAAGATAGACCTATTCATCCCATAGTCCCATAGGATAAGCTCGTTAACTTGACTGTTAGCAATGCGCTTTCCAAATGTTTCTTTCTTCAAAGTTGTTCCCTTTAATTCATCCTTTTTATCATAGTGACTCTTCATTCATCGACTACAACTCGTTCGCTGGTTCACCATGCCACCTATCTATCGAAATACGGGGGACTGAGTCAACTCCAAACCTATCTGACGATTGAGTAAGTCATAATGTAAGATGAATCACCTAAACTTATCAGTCCAGTCGCAAGTACGTGGAGGTTCGGGCGTGAGGAGCACCTTCGTGGGGTATCTTAGGGAGAATTCCAACTTTCCTTTGGGGATATCGGTTTTAATCATACGACCGCGTCGACGGGTTTATGGCGTCTGCATGTGATTCAACACCAGCAGATTTTTTAGCCGTCTCTTGATACATGGTATACCTTTTCTGGCTACAATCCTTCTGTTTTGTCTAAATCGGCATATCTAAACTACAAGTCTTTTTAGTCGGCGCCTTACTTTTGAACGTCCTTGATGGGAATCTGGGCTGATTATACTCAGTCGCAACGCCCGGGAAGCTAAAAATCACACCAAATTAAGTGAGGGTCGTTATTTTGCCATGGGAATTGTGGTGCGCATTTTGGGAGTTTTTACTATGTTCACCAATACCGTGCATGTACGGAGTACGATGGCAGAAAATACAACACGTCCGCCCATGTCCAAGTCGTTCAGGCATCGTATAAACCCAAATAAATAAATCAAACAACCAACTCCATTCTCCGTATTAGCAGACCTTGCGGCAAGTCTCCGCAAACAGCAGCGGGATAGTGGGAAAAGTTGCCGATGCCTTCTTGTTATCAAATCTATTTCCACATCTACGGGTGCCTACTGTTCAGACACGACCTGCAGTTAAACTACTATTGGGGACATATGACTCTAAGGGTCCATTAGGAATTTCGTCCCCATGCGAGTAAACGAAGCGAGCGTGATGTTGTTGATGCTTGGTAGTTGTACGGGGAGGAAGCGATTGGTTGGAAAGGCGGCAGAAGTAGGTCGGTTGCCTAAGGATGCCTGGATGCTAACGCCAAGTGGATATCAACCATATGAAGTTGAAAATTGGCCTCTCTACAACTTATGTAACAAAATAAACCTCATGGGTTCTCTCCTGGGTTTGTCATTCAATTGAAATAACCTCTCAACACTACTTCACTTGCACAATCGATTTCATGAATTCCATACCCTCCCTCCTAATCAAGCACACTGACTTCGTGTAGTATATAAACTCCAACCCAGAGAAGCGTAGGGCCGACTTGGTTCAGCCTTTTAACGAGTATGATGCTCTTATGCGCAAGAAATTTGCTCTAGAGCCATATCATCCATTGATACAAGTTACCTAAGCCAACGGTGTGCCGCTGTACGACCAGACTGGTTCCATAGATCTCTCTATTCGAGCTCGAGACCTTGTCTCGGAATCACCAGAGCAAACGGAGAAGTACCTTTTGCCCCCCTGAGTGCCAATGACCGGAAACCACATGGCTCCGTGGCAGTTGTGCCATCTTTCAATGGGTCCCAGAACAACTTTACGCTCTTCACAGAAGGATCCTTGAGTGAGATTGACTGGTCCAATACAGTAGCTGCTGGTAGCGCTGTCGTGACCTCGCTTTCTGTACCAAAGAATATCGCAACTCTAAGCGTGGCCTCCGCAGGTACTACCATGAAGAATGTCGAGAAGCGAACTAACCTGGAGGCAGCAGGAAGGATGCGGTTCCAGAATGCCGCACAAAGCAGCTGCACTTGCTGTATCCTATCCAAAAAGTTATCTCCGCCGTTTTGGCCCATAGTGCCACATTTGTGTTCTCATACAGAATGAAAATCCGACATGGTATAAGGGTGATGACAGTGGAAGAGCCACGATATGATATAGTTTAAAAATCGAAAAGTCGACATGCTTTCCCTAAGGCATTATAGCCAACTCTAGTATATTGCAAACATCTATTGCTTTTAATTACTGATTTTCTGAGCCTACGTAATACGAGGAAAGTGTCAAAGGTTAACTGAGTGGTGGTCCCTCGGAGACCTGTTTAAACTAGACATATTGTTAGCTCTGTTCATAGATAATTCATGGAATAGCAGTTGGGGATTCGTACGACACAACGCGTATCACTGTGAAGTCTACAGGGCAGGAGCGTGTAGATGGTGCTAGGTGGTCCTGCTTCAACACGTTTTTTTTGGTTTTTGTAAACATCAACACCGAGCTCCCATACGAACTTGATTTCACTAAGCATAACCAAAATGTCTATTCCCGTTACCAGCACTGATACACTGCAACATGCACTTCCTGATATCAAGATTGGACCGAACTTTACGCGGTCGAATGCTATTCACGAAATTCGATACGTCGGACCCCTACGCCGTTGGGCGACCTTTAATAACGAGGTCACTGTGACATTTCAAAAAACGAATTGGAGCCCAGTCCCTCTCTTTTTAAATCTCGTCAATTCTCCCATCCTTGGACCACTAGCAAACGAGCACATTCGATGCGGTGATGAGACAGGATTACAGGGGCGTTTTGACGAACGTGTAGGACAAGCTTTGGGCGCTGTATTCGATGTCAATAATTTTGATTTGGTCATCGGCGACTTTAAATGCACGGCAAACGCGCTAAAATACCGAAAAACACCCGATGTCATGATCATGCGACCTAATGGCAGTTCTCATGTCGTTGGTGAGATGAAGACGTTTTGGGTGTACGACCACCAGTTGGAGAGAATTGTTTCGCAATTCGACTTTGGTGAAGACAATTTGCTTCGCCAAGTCTTAGGTAAGATCTTTCATCTAACTATAGTTAACTATACAGTTATGAACGCTGGCTGAGATAGAAAGTTCCGTGCGCTAACGTAAAATGTAAACACAGGACAAATCGCCCAATACATGGATGACTTGGATCTCAAGTTCGGGTTTATACGCACTTACAATGAGACTCTGTTTTTACGTCAGGTCCTTTTTGGTAGAACTAGGGGCTTGGAATTCTCTCCTTCGATCTACCATGATGACGTGTATACTGGACAAGGGGATGTTACTCTCCGTCAGGGGATGATGCACTTAGCTCTGTGCTCACTCGTAAACCCTCGCCCTGGCACTGGGCTGCGAGGTGTTTGGACTGTTGATACCTAGTTCTGAGTTTTATGTTTGTTCAATACCATTTTCTCAATATGAATCATACTGTTCGTACATAATCTGTGTCCGTCTATCGAAACAAGGATTTGCAAAGTAACAAATTCCTCGGTAGGTGATAAGCGAAGAAGAAGCCGAGAATCATACTACAAGGTTTTTCTATTTAACTTTTATATATATCACGAGATGACCGATTTTTACACTAAAAGTGATGCAATAGCACTCCCGCCGCAGCACTACAGCACAGGACTGAGGGTCTAGTACTACGACCGGACTATCTCTGCAGCTCCAGTGCTGTAGTGTCTCTGTATAGTGTCAGGCAAGCTCTTTGTACTTTCGGTACAGGCCATTCGGCCAGTAAGTATAGTAGACGATGGACTATTTGCGGCGATTTGGTCAATAGGGGCAAAGATGGAAATAGACAAAGAAGAAGACCTACAGCAATAGAGGATGAAGGAACAGAATAAATGAATAGACCTATAGGAATAAACAAATAATGGAACAAAGCAAAAGTAGACGAATAGGAATGCAACATGCCAAAAATAAAGTTCATTCTCTTGCATCACTTAGCTATCAACTTTCTCCCTCTTCGCCATGCCATCATTTTGTTTCAGCACCCTGCTCCTTCAATCTTGTCAATCGAAATGACTTCGCAGCATTCCTGGTTCCGGGGCCCCGAGCTCCGTAGTATTGTCTTCGATGCCCCTACGCCCTCTACCTGGATTGTCCTCAGGCGCGTTAACGAACACGAGCACCGAAAGGATCCTGACCACTCCGCTGTCTCCTATGCCTCCGTTAAGTACCAGTGCAAGAAACACGGAGATGCTAGCAAAATCGCGTTCGTTAGGATATATAAGCAACTGCCCCACCTCGGCACAGAGTTTGACGATGATGCTACCCGCGCCAAGCAAGCTAGGGCGTGGACTCCGCCCGAGCTAGTAGCATACAAGACTCTTACCGATAAGCAGTCGGAAGTCACCCCCCGCCTCCTAGGGTATAGGGAAGAGGAGCAAGAGAGCTCTGCTCTTGTACCCGCTGGCTTCCTGGTCTCGTTTGCGTGGGAGCAAGTGCCTGGTGTCCAGCTAGGAGATAGTCTTGGCGCAAAGGTCTTCTGGGATATGACTGATGATCAACGCCACAGTATTCGGGAAGCCTTTAAGAACAAGACAATCCGGTGAGTTAACGCCTCTATTCTACGTTACCTATAACAGATGTGTACTAACATCGGCCCCTTTTAGTAAGACCGAAACTATTGGCTTTCGCCCTTTGTTCTCTGGTCCCTCGCATTTAGTCTGGGATTCCGCCTCCGGTAATCTGTACGACTTCATTAGCAATTGCACTGTGCTTGCTCCAAAGGAATTTACTAACTTATAGCCTATAGTTTTATGGTCGGCTTCCGCCAGTGGATTGAGGTTAAGCCAACACCCTGGAGTGAGGCAAAGTCCTACTGGTTCGACCTAGCTAAGCCACCCAAAAAGGTCAACTGGTCTGAATGGGGTAAAAACCCTGATACTTCTATTTGGAAGTTTTAGATAATCTTTTTTCTTTGATTATGAGGGTTTGCTGCTCTGGAGACAATCCAAAAAATTCAAATCCTGAACTTGTGACCATCTGGACTTGTAAGGTGTCGAAATATGACAGAATTCAGGGCGTAAAGCAATGTATGGTAAGATCAATGAACGTGCATAACCAACTGACAGAAATCTGACTGTACGAAAATGTATGGCAGATATGAATGACTCGAACTAAAATGACAAAACCCGCTGTTTCAACAATCTGAGCGGTTGAGATGACTAACCGTAAGGGGCACTTCCGCGACCTTACCATCACCGCTAGGAATCGGGGTCCCCAACATTTCCTAGACCGGAACAACACCAGTCTAGACACTGGAAGTGACCTGCTCGGTTCTTGAGTCCTTACGCTCATCCGAGACACTTCCATTACAGATCTTGCCGCTGCTATCCACAATCTTCACCTCTAGGATGACAGTCGACTGCATCTCAGCACGGTCCGGCAGCACACACGAGTGATCCCAACGATCCGTAAGAACAGAGTTCTCGATCAATTTATGGTCCACAGCTTTTCTTTCTCGTCCGTGGCGAGGGTCGCGTAGCCGTACAGGAAGGCAGAGCGGTAGTTGTCTGTGCGAGTTAGGCGTAAGTGACAGGATCAGCCCGTCTATTTGCTTGCTGCTTCGTAGATAGGGAGTCCATTGCCATCGCTGCAGCTGCAAGCTAGGTTCGTAGTCCATCAGCTGACGTAGCTATGGAGGCAGCAATCTAGAGGCTCATCGATACTCGCGGAGGGAAACTCAAACGATCACATTTGTCCTATCATCGGGAGGATTGCGGAGAATGGGTTGTCTGACCCTGGATTGAAGGATACATTGAGAACTCGAGAGTCATGGATAATTGATAGAATTCAACCCAGGCCATACGTGGCTAGAATATAGTTTTGGTTGTTGGCTTCGGTGTAATCACATAGTCATCTCGTACCTCGATGCTTGTACCGATGGGCAGTGTTAGACACCCTACTAGGGTTGGTCAAGTTTCGTCCCATGTATATGGCTGTCTGTAAAATGCCCTGTCAAGTTAAGAGAAGAATCAAGTAGGCGACGACGAAGTAAGCATTCAAGTAGATCGATGATGAATCAAGATAGGTGATGGACCTGGCGAATTAGGGCAGCACGCCTTAAAACACCCATTTCAGCAGATCCCTTGGTGCAAAATTTACCCACAAAGGCTAGACTGGAGTACTTTTAATGACAGGCTGTGCACAGATCTATCGAGTCAACAAATTTGTTCGCAACGGGGTATAGTAGTGGAGAGAGGGTGTCTCCGATGCCAAACGCACCCGAGGTGATTGGCCCACACCGCCGACTTGATGAACCTGGCGACAACAACACCTCCAACAATTCAATCTTATCACTCATTTTTGAGACCTTCAAGAATGGCGGCATGCAGGTCTCTTGTTCGCCAATGTGCCGTCTTTATGCGCTCATCTAGGCCTTTGAGTCATTCATTGCGCCAATTGCCTAGATGCAACCCTCTGCCTCGCAGTTATGCGACCTCGGTCGCCGCCGCGGAACTCAAATTCGGCCAGCCGCTGCATGAGACGCATCCCCACATCCTCAGCCCAGGTGAACGTGTGTACTTATCTGTGTTCATCCTGTCATTTAATTAGCTGATTGTCGTCTGTCTAGTTACGCCCGGGATAACTGCCCTTGAATATGCGCAACGTCGATCGAAACTCGCCAACAAGCTACCCAAAGGCGCGATTGCAGTGCTGGCTGCCTCAGAGGTCAAGTACCGCGCACAAGGAATCTTCAATGAGTACCGCCAGGATTCCAATTTCTTTTACCTGACGGGCAAGTTTGCTTAGCACGCTGTTGATGCTGCGGAGGACATCCGCTAAATGTTTGCACGCTGAACAGGATTCAATGAACCCAATGCACTCGCGATTATCGGGAACGACGGTTCTGGCGACAATCACATCTTTCATTTATATGTGCGGGAAAAGGACCCCAAAGCAGAACTCTGGGACGGGGCGCGCTCCGGCACTCAGGCTGCTGTGGACGTCTTCAATGCGGATGAGGTGCGGGACATTGGATCAAGGGCCAGACAAATTATCGAGCTGACAGGGAGAACAGACGGGAAACATTGAACAAATTGGAGATATCTTGCCAGCCATTGTCCAGGGAGCGACAGAGGTTTACTCGGACATTCCAACATTTGATGGTTCAAGATCGTCCTTGAATCGGTATCTGTATGGGGCAACAGTCGCGTCGGAGAAGCTGAAGAAGGTCGTCGACCACCACAGGGTCAGGCCACTAAAGCACTTGCTGAACGAAATGAGGGTGTTTAAGAGTGAGAATGAGGTTGTACAGATGCGCCGACTGGGGCAAGCGTCAGGGAGAGCTTTCACCGAGGCTATGCGGCAAGACTTCACCCGAGAGAAAGATCTCTATTCTTTCCTGGAGTACCAGTTCAAGGTGAATGGCTGTGATACTAACGCTTTTGTCCCGGTTGTCGCGGGTGGTCAGGTATGTTTCCGGACCTTTTTGAAGCTGAAATCGACACTGACGGACCTCATAGAACGCCTTGGCTATTCATTACACCCGAAATGACGATGCATTGAAGTCCGTATGCCTTTCTAAAATGCTGTTAGACTTTGCTTACGGTTCAATTTCAGGGACGGTGATTTGGTTCTCGTTGATGGCGGTGGTGTAAGTTCTTCATCTGAGCTCAAACTTTGCAGTTCCAGGACACTGACCAAACTACAGGAATGGGGGAGCTATATTTCTGACATCACTCGAACATGGCCTGTCAATGGCAAGTTCTCCGATCCCCAGCGGGATCTGTACAATGCTGTGCTCAAGGTGCACCGGTGCTGTCTTGCTTTGTGCCGCGAGACTTCCAACCTTTCTTTAGACAAACTCCATGGTATCGCCGAGAATGGATTGAAAGACGAGCTCAAGTCGCTTGGCTTTGATCTGTCCGGCAATGTATGCATCCGAAACTTTTCTATGTGGAGTACGCTGCTGACTTTGACTAGGCACTGAACACTCTATTCCCGCACCATCTAGGCCACTATATTGGCCTGGACGTCCATGACTGCCCTGGGTATTCTAGAGGCTACGACCTGAAAGCAGGTCAATGTATAACGATTGAACCGTTCGTCTCCAGCCTCTTTTCTTCCCCAGCCTGAAACAAGCTAATCCATGCTAGGGGTATCTATGTTCCCAACGATGAACGATGGCCCGCCCACTTCCGCGGGATCGGAATTCGCATCGAAGATAGTGTTTGCGTCGGAGACGAACACCCTATTGTTCTAACCCCTGAGGCCGTCAAGGAGGTATGTTAACAAAGCTTTAATATGCCCGAATTTGTTGTTACTAACATGTACTAGGTGGAAGACATTGAAGCACTGCGTAATTAGATGTGATGTATACAGTAGCTGTCAGACCCATGAAATTCCCATGTACAATAGCACAAGGTCCAAAAGACCATACTTGAGCCCCTTCGTTTTCTTGAATTTTCTTTGCTTTAAATTCAAATTTAGTCTATAGGATCCTTGCCACGATCAATTTGTGGTGGCTGGTCTGGGCCTGTTTGGGAGGGGCTGAATAGAAGGCTGGTCCTGGGTGGTTGGAGACGATTGAGCATTTTTAGAAGTTGCGTGTTAAGAGGAGAAAGATTGGATCTAATCGCCCTAGAGAATGACTAGAGAATGAAGTTAAAAAGGAAAGAAGTTCGAAAAGAATCTTGGTCGCGGTCAAAGAATGCAATGTTGATGTTCATGCTTCGCGCGCTTCCGTTGGTTGTCGGGCCTCCGCCCAAAACAAACTGAGCTCCACACCACACGACTTGCTTTGCTCTTCTTTCTTTCCTCCAGGTCTTCCACCTCATCTTTCTCTTCCCAACTCTTAAGCACTTTGATCTATTACTCTCTCACTTGGCTACCTGATTTTGTCTCTTTGGATGCAATGTCCATTCTCTGATCTCTAACCCTCGAAAGACGTGTAGCACGCGTGCTCTTCACCGAGTACCCCTCTTTGATATTTGATTACCGTCACTCTGCAGCATATCCACGCGTTCTCAACCCTGGGAACTTGTTTCCCAATGGCAACTGTTTTTGTACCCCCATCGCCACGAAACTCTATGGCCATGGCGACTCGTCGTCCACTCGCAAACGTCTCGAATGCAACCAACTCTCCGCACAGGGCAGGGCTCTTGCCAGTTAAACGAGCTCGCACTAATCAAATGGAAATGCCTTACGGACAACCACCGCTGAAGAAACAACTGATGGGGAACATGGAATACGAGACTCGATCCACTACCTGGCAGAACACGAACACTGACTCGAAACTTTTTGCGCGGCGATCGAATAACGGAAACCCTAGCGCATTTGAGAAGAAGCTCGTCGCGGCAAGGGAGAAAGAACGTCAACCGCTGGTGAAGCACGTCAAAGCCGAGAAGGCTCCAGCAGACACCATGGACTCCATTCGACAATGGCAACAGCACTATAGGAAGGCGTTCCCTCAATTCGTGTTTTACTTCGATAGCATCCCCGAGGATGTGAGACGGCGATTCTCTCGCCAAGTAATTGCTCTTGGAGCTGTAAGTCACATTGCCCCACTGATTATTCTCTCAGTCTTGGTTGCACCTCATGTCTCCTGTCGTCAATTGATTGAACATCTTCTATCGACATCTTCTCTAACCCACTTCAATCCAGCGTGAGGAGAAGTTTTTCTCGCGTCTAGTGACTCACGTTGTCACTTCGCGCGCCATCCCCCCGGAATTAGCCATTCCAGTGGAACCGGAGTCAACCGCAGACGTCGCCAACGGCGATGGTACCATGCAAACCGTCAACCCCTCCCTCCTGGAGAGAAACAGCGAGACTCACCTGCATGCTTTTTTAAAAACCGAGACACGACGTGACCAAGGCACCATGGACATTCTGCAAAGGGCAAGACAAATGGGGATGAAAATCTGGGCGTTGGAAAAGCTTCAGCGTATGATCACTGCCATCAATGACAGTGACATTGGTGCGCTATATGAACAAGCAGCTCGGGGCAGGGCCGCTGGGGGCAGGGCCGCTGGGGGTAACACCGTCAATGGCAGGGGCGAAAATGACCTTTCACGGGTTCTTCGTCAGGAACTTCTCAATGGACCATCTGATCGTGATCCACTGGCATCAATTGAAGTGATAATGTTCAAAGGACCATTTGTCTACATCCACGACATGAACGAGAAGACCAAACCAGTCATGGTTCGAGAATACCCCCGAGTCGCTAGACGCCAGGATGGATCATGGCCACAGTTCCGAAGCGCCCCCCTCGGAAAGTGTCCATTCATTGATGAGCCCCCGAGCAGGAAGGAATATGACCTACACCGCCTGCGCCAACTCAACAAAGAGAAGAAGGTCGCCTCTCACGTGGCTCATGGATCTCGTAACGCTAAGCCAAAAGCAGCTGTGCCAGTTCAAGTCCCCGAGTCTGTGACTACAACAGAGATAGCAAACTCCCAGCCATTGGCAAAACAGGACGAGCTTGTTTCACCTCCTATTCAGAACGAAATCCAAAAGCCATCATTTGAGGAAACCCAAGAGCGAAAGACTTCTGAAAGCTTCATCCCCCCCCACTTCCCTCGCACCGGGCCCTTCTATGTTGGCCGTGAGCCGGCTGCATCAGGTGTTCAGCCATCAAACATGACATCCGCAATTCGCTCACAAATGATCTCATCTACCGCTGCAGCACCTGGTGCGAAAGCCGGGCTCAGCAAGGAGGTTCATGGACTTAAGCGAAAGGTCCTCGAGAAGGGCACAGGTGGATTTGCAGCGGGATCCATGGCTGCCCCCCAACGCCGTGGGGACGGGTTTACAGCAGTTCCAATGAAGATGAACATCAATCCCCCTGGAAAGTCCAACCATCTCAATGAGGATGAAGCAAAGCAATCTGAGGTGGCTGGCTCAAAGCGACAAAGAGATGATAAAGAGGAGCAAAAGAAACCCGAATGCCGCAGAGATCCAAAGCCTGGTTATTGTGAGAACTGCATGGACAAGTTTGACGATTTTGAAGAGGTATGATCTAGATTAATACTTTGCTTACATCTTGATAGACACTGATCAATCTCTAAGCACACTCTGACTCGGAAACATCGCCGGTTTGCTACGAACTCGACAAACTGGGCTGCACTCGATGCACTGCTCTCCGAAATTCAGCGTCCTCTCAAGAGTGAATTTGAATACGGACAGATCTGATGTTTCTTACAGCAACCCATGATTTCCTTTCGACCTCGGCCTATATCTGATACACCTCCGCATCCTGGTGCAGACTACGCTTTTATTCTTCAAGTTATATTTCCTCTACCAGGTTGCAATTTTTCTTTCTGTCATGCCCGATTTGAACCTCAAAACCTCGCATTACCATACCCTCGGCATCGACACATGCATGGTGGCGTTTTTTTTTTTTGTTCTCTTTGATTTACCCTGCATCAACAATACTCAGTAGCCAGTTCCTCGCCGACGGTCTGATCTGCATGCCTTGACCTCGGTGGAGGTCGTCCACTCGTGTACAGCATTTCCACTTTCTTCGAATGTAGTGAATATCCGATTTTTAAACCAACATCGCATCACCTTCGAAATCAGAAGTTGACCTCTATCAACCGCCGACGGAAATTTTGAATACTTGCATTCTCCAAGAACAAACCATCGTCGACGCTGCTTGCCTCACATGCAATGAGCATGTGCTTTACGGTCTTTAGTTGTGGCCGGTTGCGATATACCTGAGGTATAATGAACGATTTAGATGGACTCGAGGGCTCCTAACCTTGCACTGCCCTTCGTTCTAACACATTGTTATCCCCATTTTTGGTCCTGCGGGGCCATAATTTCTATCAATAGCTTTTCCTTGTGTGTTTATACCGGTGGTGTCTTGTTTCCGGCCGAGTCCTAACAGACGCTTTTCCTTTCTCGCGACATCACTTACCTGAAGAAGCATTTATTCGACTCGATGATCTGTATGCAGTTTGTATCGTGCTAATTGAATGTCTGCTACCATACAAAGTTCTGGGTAATGAATCATAAGCCCCTGCCCCAAGGAGCACCCTGCGTGTAACAGCGTGTTATTATATGTGTGTATGATGTACAAATGCGGAAACCGATCTATAAGTACTTTTCCGGTTTTGCTCAGTGGCTCGCAGATGTCCTTTTGTACGGTGTGCTATACAGTTTATATGACTCACTTTGGACTGCCAATCCGTCGTAAGATCATGAAGTACTTCCTGCTTGCCTCCTAGCTTTTAAGTACATAAGGAATACGTTATGATTCGTCATCTGCTAAAGTGCTCAGATGGTTATTGATACAGTAGAATGGTTATAAAAGCCCTTTTTCAAAAACGTTCACTATAAGATTTTCACTAAACTCCTTCGAATGGCCTTCAACGTTATTAAACACGGAGTTGTTACTATACATACCGAAGTGGTTCCTTCCTTCCACTTTGATGCTCATCCTTGTGACAGTTAGATTATGATCTGCGAGGGGGGGGGTATTGGTGCCTGATTGAGCAGTGATGGAGCAGGTATCCATACGACAGATCCCATTTGTATGTAGATAGCTAGATAGCTCCTTTTCTCTTCCTTTTCCTCTCTGTCGGTCCGCCTCGCTCCCATAGGAATCGATTACCAAGTTTCTACTTACAGAACTTCTTGTCGCACGATCCCTCAACAACCCAATCAAGATTTTCTCCCCACTACAACGGAAACATCATAGCAACAATAGCAAGCAAGGCTGTGCAAGTCACTAAGCATAGCCTCCCTCAGGGCCGTAAGCTGGTGCACGGATTGTATCTCTTCCAACCCGTGCAATTCTAAAGCAGCAGTAAGAATATGCTGGATTGCAACAACGACTGTCAGATTGAGATCTTCCCGAGTGTCTGGGTTGTCAAGTGTGTAGATCCGCTCTTCACAGGATTCCAATCCACTTTTCTGGAAAGTGCCATGAAGAGCAGTAATACTAAAAGAGGAATCAGGATGGTCACCTGGAAATCGGATAATTAGACTTACGTTGGTGTTTTCCCAAGCGAAACCAGAGTCTTTCGGAGTAAGTCGAGTCCATACCGTACGTTAGTGGCTCGTTTCCCCTCGGGCTCTCCTTTGATTACACATTCATGTATGGCACAGTCAATCCATTGAAAATGCCCGCCCGGCTCTGCTCACAGGTAGGTTAGATCTTGAGTCACTTGGATCTGAGCTCGGAGGATTCGTACTGAGAAGTGTCATCAAATTACGCACAGCTGGCTCCCATTCGTCATAAGACAAAGCCACCACCATCAATCGAACATTGACGACGTCGTATGCTCCCAGATACTCATCCGGGAATGGCTCAAGGAAATTTTGATGATGGAAGGTGATGTTTTCCGGCCGTGCATTCTTGCCGGGAAACATGACGTCTGAGAGGTCAAACCCGTCAAGCTGACAAGTTCCTGGGAGGACAGCTGCGAGCTCACGGAGCCAGATCCTCGAGAAATCGAGTCAGAACATCTCTCCTCTCTGCTGCAGTTGTTACTCACCCAGTTCCTGTGCCCACATCTGCAATGCGCATACGATCATGTTGTTTGATGACTGGATGAAGTAGATACCCTATATTGGCCTGCAAGGCTTTGAATTGTATCTCCAGCCTATATTCCTCCATGTTAAAAAGGTCATGAGATGAACGTTTGCTGTGGAGGTCTTGACCTTTCGCTTTCGGCCATGTTTCTAACCAGCAAATATTCACCCCGAGTTTGGACTTCAGACATTTTGGAATGCTTAAAGAGTTACAACTTCGAGATGTTAGGAATAGCTTGACTTTTTGCAGAGTCTCTAGTGAGAAACTCGTGTATCAAGGCGGAGAGAGGAATAAATAAGGAAGACTTACTGTTACACGAACAAACTACTGTTTTCTACTGTTAAATTATTCCACCAGTCATAGATTAAGGAACGTGTGCGGTAAAGCTGATTTGGAAGGTGAGAGCAGTTGAACATTTACGGCTCTACACCGGCAGGCCTCGTTTTTAGGCTATTATACTCACCTAACCAACCATCTCAAGCTTACGCGAGTTCCCTTTGGCATTTAGCCATCACCTACATCGAGGCTATGATCCCGTGGGCAAATCATGCCGCTCCTCCCGATCAATGATATGAGAACCAGTAACCCGCTAGACCAAAAGATGATAAGGACATACAGAACGTCTGTTTTGTCATTGCAGCGGCACATCTAGTAGGCCCCCACAATCGTTAGGGATTACACGGCGATAGGTGACTTGGAACGTGCCTCCCCCGAGGGCTCTCGCAGCATCTGTTGTCGAATGCTAAATTGAGGGCCTAGCTGAGACAGGGCATTGTAATCCAGAGCTACACTCCGGCCGATCGAAGCACCAAAAAAAACAAATTTGAGCGGGTGTTTAAGTTATTCCACCATTGAAACGTGGTTGAAACAAACCGCTGCACGCCAGTGATTCATTACATCCAGAGCATTTAACCACGGGGCTCAAAGATCATAACCGGAACTTTCCAACTATCACCGCTACCCTGTTTTCAACCATAGGTTATACCATTGGTTTCGACACAATGTAGGGATGTAGCTTACTCAGACCACTCGCATCTAGGCTCCGATAAGACTCCGTGAGCAAAAAAAAAAATCATTCAAAAGATCAGGTTTGGGCTCTAAAAGGGAAACGGAAAGCCAAGAAGTGGTAGCGGATATTGTTGAACGAAATACAGCGTACTTTCCACTAGACCATAACAAAAACCAAGGTTCCTGTTTATGGCCTAGGGGAGGCCGTATTTGAGGTTTGACAGATATCACAGTCGATATACAACATAGATGTAGAGCCCACCTCACTTGGCCCAATGCGGTAATCACCTCGGTGGAACATCTGCAGGCGGTGACTTGAGTTGCAGGCGGTGAGTAAGGAAAAATACATCGAGCTTCGAAAGGTGATAGGAAGATGTTAGAAGATGGATTTGAAGTTTTCTCTTAGGAAACCGACACGTTTTCAGACTTCGATATTTCCAATCGACTGATAACATGCCGGAGAGAATACTGTTCCTGAGTCCAATGGCCCACGTAGCAGCCCCGCGATACGTCTCGGTGCTCCCCGTCGTTTAGCGGCAGTAAAAGAAGATCTTCACCTTCACGAATTTTTGGTGTTCCTAATCTACGCCGCAGCACCCAGCACCTCAGTCCGGACAGAAGGACACCTAAAGATATAAAGCAGAAACTCTGAACAGATCTGTCCATACATGAATCCACGCTCGCTCTGTTGTTTTTTTGGGCTCGTGCACCTGAAAACCCTCATTTTGCCGCTGAAGTCATCGCCTCTCCTTTGTTATTGCCACTTCTATAGCTCGGACGGGATACAACTAGTGCATAGATCACTGCATACTGGAGATCGTTGAGCTATATGCTCATTGGACGTGGAAAGGCTCGGGATTTTTTTGACGTGTGTCGCTAGGTGCATCGCGCCACTCCATTCTCACCATCATACCACACAATGGCCGCGCCAGGCTCTGCGCTGCGGCGCACAGTAATTGCTTCTTCGTCGCTACTCAGGACAAGGATCATCCCCATTACCCGAACACACGCCACAGACACCATTCGGGGTTCCCGTTGCCCTACCCGGTCCTCCCATTTCCCGACCCTGCATTCCGTCTCGCAAACTCGACATAGTTCCTACTCCGCGCCATCCACCGGTGATAACGGAAAGGCGCGGAAGAAGGTTACTATCCAGACGCTCCGGAACTTGTATAAAAAGGGAGAGCCAATCACGATGCTCACAGCGCATGATTTTCCCAGTGCTCATGTGGCCGATGTGTCGGGAATGGACATGGTCTTGGTAGGGGATAGTTTAGGCATGGTAGCTCTTGGTCTGGAAAACACGACGGAGGTCGTTATGGAGGAAATGATTCTTCATTGTCGGAGCGTTGCGCGGGCAGCGAAAGCCGCTTTCATTGTGAGTGTTCGGAATTCCTTGTGGCAAGCGTCCTAGTGCTACCGACTAACAACCGTGCTCCAATTCTAGATCGGAGATCTACCGATGGGGTCATATGAAGTGTGCGCAGAGCAAGCCATCGAGTCGTCTCTGCGCCTGGTCAAGGAAGGCCGCGTACACGGTGTCAAGATTGAAGGTGGCCAGGAACTCGCGCCCACAATCAAGCGCATCACCCAAGCCGGCGTACCGGTGGTAGGCCATGTTGGTCTCACACCGCAGCGTCAAAATGCCCTCGGCGGCTTCCGTGTGCAGGGCAAGACGGCTGTCAGCGCGATGAAGCTGCTGCGCGATGCAGTCGCTATGCAAGAAGCCGGTGCATTCATGCTCGTGCTTGAGGCGATGCCGTCGGAGGTTGCATCGATAATTACACAGAAGCTGCAGATCCCTACCATTGGTATTGGCGCCGGCAATCGCTGCTCCGGGCAGGTTTTGGTGCAGGTTGACATGACTGGGAATTTCCAGCCTGGTCGGTTCGTGCCGAAGTTTGTTAAGCAGTATGCGGATGTTTGGGATGAAGCTGCGCGTGGAATCTCGCTGTATCGGGATGAGGTTAAAAGTCGGGCGTTTCCTTCGGAGGAATATACGTATCCCATTGCAAAAGATGAGCTCGCAGGGTTCCAGAGAACAGTGGATGAGGTCTTCCAGGAATCATGAAGTGTTTGGTTGACAGGTTGTTTTTTTTCTGTTTTTTTTTTCGTGGCCATTTCTGGCACGTTCTGTATTAAGCATCATCATCTTTTGTACATAGCATCATTCAGCAGTTCGTGCTGGTTGGTCATAGTCTGCTCAGCCGAATGCTGGCGTCATTGAATAAGCGACGATCAATTGATCGTCCGTTTTGAAACACTATTATGAAGTTAACATTCAGATTGTCAGATATAGGTTCGGTAGAACAGTCTAGCTGAAACTCACCCTCCATAGCCCGCCCATACCTTCATCCAGCCCAGGCGCAAATACACTATTAACATAACAAAAGACAGAATCGGTCTCTTTGCAATCGAGCTTCTTGCGCAGAAACTTGACAACCGTCTCAAATTTCTGCGAAGCGCTGACCTTGAACACCCGATTTTTCAGGATCGGCGCTGATGGAAGAGGCTGGAAGCGAACAGTAACTTGGTTTTTATCAGTTCAAATGTACCATTTGTTGAGATCGTAGTCGTCTGATCAACCAAAATCTCATTGGAAAAGGGAATGGTACCTTTCCCCGAATCAATACTCTCCACATCCGCGAGTGCCTGGTGCGCATCGCGAGGTAAATTTGTCAGCATGACCGATGCTGACATATTCATCGGTAGATCGGCACCATGGTTATCATCTGGAATTGGTGGGTTTGCGGAGTTGCTCGCTGGTGTGCCTGGGTTCTGGGGCAGGCGCGGGCTTGGACGATGGCTGAGAGTGCCTGATTGCGGGTTTGAAGTAGGAGAGCTTTGTGGAGAGCGTATTGGAGAAGATGGATTCATGATAAATGATGTGACAAAAAAAGAAAGAGGAGCTTGTAGATGGGATGGAGTAAAATGGTGTAAGGTGGGAGAGTTGACGGAGGTGGGGGGGACCCTTAACGCGCTTAAAGTTTTGGCCCGAACGGCTACGCTAAAAGTGTACTGTTGATAAGACCTGCTTCGTAGGCACCCCAGAAAAATAAAACGAAAGGATCATTGGAGCGAAGGGCAGCGTATTTTTGTATTTTTGATCATTAGGTAAGAATACCCCCTACCTGTTGCTCCCCCATCATCCCAAGTGTCTTCAACTAAGCCAGCAGAGTCTCTAGTCCTCCAAGGTTAAATCCTTGATATCGGGGCTCGGTGATAGTTTCGATGGTCCATTTGATGTGATCGATGCACCGAGCTCTTAATTGGGGTGAAAGATGATGCTCTGGCAACAAAGAAGGACTTTTAATATCTATTTACAGCTTCTTGTGATTGCATTTTAGAATGATTAATGTACTTTACTAAGCGCCAACAGCACAATGTGAGCCCGTACCTTTCTTGTAAACACTGCCTTTGTAGTCTACCAAGCAGTTTCGTAGGACACACAACAACTTCCTGCTATCCACCCATCATGGGCAAGATTCTTTTTGTCTAGTAAACATCTGATAACCTTATTCGCTTATTCGGTTCTTACTTTTTGGCGTTGTGTGGTAAGTCTGACTTCTTTGGGGCTTCTTTGTTGATATCTTTTCTGCCTCTTTCTAAGGGTTTCTGAAGCAGCAATGCGCATTCGTAAAGAGGAAAAAGTCCATCGCTGAGCGCGTGCACCTGGCAAAAGAAACAGGCGGCACCGTCATGAATAACCTCGCAACCAAGCTCATTGAAATGGTCGTTGTCTGCTGTTTGGCCCTGAAGGGCAACGCCTTCATTTTACGGCCGCTACTGCAGTTGTGTGACCTGCATGTCCCCTGGTCGCTGTAACCCATGTAGGAATACCATGCTGACATATGAAGGATTTGGTATCCGGCTCCTGTTCTCGCTCAGCTCCCGTTTTGGGTCCGATAGGCTTCAGCACGCGGACTGTATTCTGTTCCGGCAATTTTGAGCCGTGGCGAGTGGTGAGACGGGAAAAGAAACCCTATCCACCCTGTCTAAAATCTCTATAGTTGCCCTTCCAAATGAGTATATAGCCCACCCAGCCACCTGAATGGATACATCTGTTAGGAAATACTGTTGATGGCCTCTTCAACTCCCATCAGGGGAACGATGTGCAAATTGATCGTCAAATAACTGAATGAATAAAGATAGGAGTGGTACTAGTAGTCAAAATTCACCTTGAAATAAGAGATTCGACGATAGATTGAAAAATCTAGATGAAAAAGGCATGCATTGGAATTGTCAAATCAAGTAGAATGCTCTATTCGTTCCCATTCTGCACGATGTTGCTTGCCAAAGTGGCAAGTGTATACAGAGCCGACAACCTGATAACTTCAGGTGGAAAGTTATTTCTCTGATCACGATTGCTGAGGGAAATAATTTAGGAAATCCACTGATCCATCTTCATTTTCCACTTCAATTTCACAGCTCTCCATCACTTCTTTACCACACACAAATACCATGGCACCCGTCTATCACGGCCAATGGTCATTCCACGTAGACACGTTCTACGTCACTTCCTCTTGCGGTCATGTTCACCCACGCGCCACATACTCCGAGCTAGATACCATTTTCAGTGCACCGTTGGGTGACAGAAGGAACAGAGCCGATCATCAAGACCACTGGTACGAGGCACAACTTCTCCATTTTGGGCTGCCGCCGACAAAAGGCAAAGCGACAGCCAAGATGAGATTGATGGATGCCTTTCAAGACGGAATACTAGAGGTTCCGGCGGAGATACTCCAAATGGAAGCAACGCTAGCAAGGAACTGGATCCAACAGGACCTGGAGGCCCGCCTTTTGGGTCCTTCGATGCGAACTCCAATCGATCCTGCCATTGCGGAAGCTACGGCGACTGATACCACTGGATTTGGTACCACTCAGAGGCCATCGGTTGACGAGGAGGGAAAGGCATTCGGTGCAGGTGCGACTGGAGGAGCCGGTGTGCAAGGCAAAATGCGATCTCAACGGAACAAGATGCAACCGCCTCATACTTACCAAAAGAGAAGGAAACACAGCAATGGAGAGTCATCGGCCCGCCCTATGAAAAGTGCCAGATATCGTGATCAAACTGGCGGACCTGGCTTGCAAGTACAGATCCACGCCAATTCAAACAATGAGAACCTCTACCAGACATCAACTGTTATTCCAAAATTAGTCGGAAACAGACGCGGACACCCGGCTTTGCACAGAGAGTTGCAACAAATTGGATACCAGACTGTGCCTTTATTACACCAGACTATCTCCGGAACAGTGAGCATGTTCTTTCCAGTGCCAGAAACGAAGTATCACCATCTCTAACCGCCATACGTAGGGAACACAACTGCCTCCACCCGGCCTAATGGACACTGACGGTGCGAATGACTATCTTAGATACGGCTACAGCCCAGAGATGCTCAAGGCTGAATAAAGGCGTAGGGGACAGAGATTCAGTAGCCGAGGTATGAGTGGATTGAGTTGGTTGAACCAAAAACGAAACGAGTTGGAGACATGAGATTTTTTTGTGGGAAAGCGTCACGGTATCATGAAATGTTTGCATCCCAAATTGATTGAAGATTGTTCATGGCTACTACCTAGTAAACGGAAAGTTCAACCCCCGGTCCTTTGGATTCATTGAATACAGGGTGACGCATTTGTTCTGTGGAAGAGGTATGGATCTAGTATGGAATCCATCGCTTGCCAGTCTATTCTTCATGTATCAATCTATGGAAATGACAATTCAATTCATAAACCAGCATCGGAATCCTTTTTTTTCAAAAAGCTGCGCCGCTGCACGTCAACAATCGAAAATTTGAAAGGCGCATCGACAAGCCCTGTTGACTTTTCCCATTGGGGATCCAGATACCATGGCTTGATCAGCAAGACCTCGAAGATCGCAGGTTGTTGGATTTGATGCAGCGGTAGAAGCCAATCATCCAGACGGTTTGTGACGTGAGGATACAAATGGATGATCAAGGTCTTCAGGTTAGGCAACTTCGTCGCGAGAACCTGGCAGCATCTATTCCAACTTGAACCACCGGGATCGGGGAAACCAAGCTGCAAAGTGCGAATCAGGCTCATTCGCTGTGGTAGAAGTGTATTTGAAAAATCAATAATTGTATCTGTATGGTTAAAGAGGAAAGTATTCTTCTGAAAGATGATATCAATAGTCTCGGAGTACCTAACACGCTATTAGTTGGCTGGTTTCCAGCATAGATAGAAGCACTCACACTCTTCGACATGTTTGCAAAAGCGGCACAAAATCGGTTTTTCTCGTATCGATTCTCCACTCGAAGTTCTCGTGGTAATATGACCCACAGTTCATGGGTGTGATGCAGTTACCTGCAGGTCGACGAGCAAGGAGTCCCCAGCAATGATGGCTGCATGGACAGAAATTGCGAGGTTCGCTGCATAAAACCCCGACAATTGGTTTGTGGGATTGCTTCCATTTTCGCTGTTTCGGTCGGACGATATGTAGCATCCGGCTACAGAGATAGTGTTCCCAGATGAGAAGTCGGACTTCGGTAGGTAGACATTTGAACAGTGGAGACTGGATTTGTTCGAAATTCGATGGTTGCTCGCGTCGTTTAGACAGTGATAATCGCCATCTACTAGTATTTGACAAAGCCTGAGGTTTGAGCTCTTTATGCTCCGGGAATGGTGGGGTAAGTGGCCTGGGGCGGGGGTTTGCAGATGAGTTGGTGTCTTCGAAGTCGTCATTTTGAATTCGAACTGTCTTCGCCAATCCGAGTTTCTTTCCATCAAACTCGTCACCCCAACTTAGAGGTGCCATATTTGGAGCTGGTTGAAAGTGAAGTTAAACGTTGGCAGGATAGTGTTGTATTGGATGGAGGCTAACCGCGCTAACGTGACACGCCAGGGCGCGTTTGGCAAGGCTTATTTTGCATCGAATCTACAGCGTTGAGAAGGCCGAGCATTTGAATTAAATCAGATAGCAATTGGAATAAAGATGAAATCAAACAAACTAGACTCTGTCGCCCAACGGTAGAACATGGAATACTGAGCTATTCTTACATGTTCATTTTTTAACTGCAGCAAGGGACTACCTTTTCAGGCAAGTTTGCCGACCCTCCCCTTCCCCTTTACTTGGTATTAGGCCAGCCATCTCTCATATCCCTCCGGTACAACCCTGCCTCAGACAAATAACTAAAAGAAGCTGCAAAGGATGCTTTCTATCATCAATCAAGCTCGATTCTATCGACTCTGGGATTCAATGCTGGTGGTGTCGCTGCAGGTATTTACAACCTCCAAGCACAGACATTCCTTTTGTATGACACTCGTGTAGCATAGAGTTCTGCTAACCTCCTGCCGAGGATAGGTTCGTACGCTGCTGGGATTCAACATTCTATAGGAAACGTCGGAGCCGGTACCTTGTTCGCTACAGGACAAAGTGCAAAAGCAAGGGGTTGGGGATTGGCGGCTGCTCAACACTGTCGCGCAGGCAGGTCGTGTGTGTCATCATGGGAATGGGAAGTGCTGGTTTGGCCTGGCTGAAAGTCAACTGCACTTGGTGAACTATCCTCTTGATTAGTTGCCATATGCCATATACCAAAGGGCTTGTCTCTTGGTGTATCTATATATCACTGGAGTATTCAGTCTTTAATCTTGAACTATGGGTGGACATCTCTCGAGACTTCTGATTTGGAATATCCTACGGAACTTTACTTGATGAAGTTGCTACACTCTAGTAGTTGATCAGAAATGTGTTATTTATTTCACTTTCTTCTCCTTGTGGCTTCTTTGGCTGCTCCCACTGCTCTCACAATGTTCAATAGTCGATTTTGGATTGGATTTGTAGACTTTCTCAGGCAAATACAGTTGAACTATAGAGTAGCAGAAATCAGCAGGACATCGCCCCTGATGAACTGGGATACTCCTTTAGTGAAGAAGGAGAAATACAAGGAAATGTTATACAGTCAACATATGATTTATCCAGTGATAGATGCGTGGGCAATCAATGTTAAAAACAAGATGTCTTGTAGACCAGGCGTTGGGTTGGGGTATAAATTCCTCGCCTCTCCACTTCAGCTTCACCCGTCGATAAGCTTAGGTCTTCCGTCTTCAAATCCCGGCAACGCAAAGGACATGGCTTCGTCCGCAAGTATCCTTATGCCAGCGGCTGACCTCCAATCATTTACTGAATATTTGGGAGGCTGCAAACGCATCGTTGCTCTTCTTGGAGCTGGTATCTCAGCATCATCAGGTCTACCCACCTTCCGTGGCGTAGGCGGACTATGGCGTTCCCACGACGCAAGCTCCCTCGCGACTCCAGAAGCCTTTGATGAAAATCCTGATCTCGTCTGGCAGTTCTACAGCTATCGGCGACATATGGCCTTGCAGGCCGACCCCAACAAAGCACATTACGCCTTAGCGGAGCTTTCGCGGAGGAATGAAGATTTAATCACATTGAGCCAAAATGTTGACGGTACGGATGTCCGATGAGTCCTCTTATTTTCTTGACTAACTAAGCCCTCGTGCTTCTTTGAGACCTCTCTCAGCGAGCAAACCATCCCTCGAAACAGCTGCATCTTCTTCATGGTACTCTATTCACAGTTAAATGTACCAATTTCTATTGCAACCACAGCGAAGAAAATTACACAGACCCCATCGTTCCTGCTCTCGAAATCCCAAAAAAGATTTCAGGTCTCAATCCCTCTGCGACCGACAAGACTGGCGAGGAAGCCTCGAAAGCGATCGCGGAAGCGCTGGGCGGCACAAGCAACGAAGTCGACATCTCCGATACCAGCTATCCTCTCGCCACAGTGAACGAAAAGGACCTACCTCAATGCCCGAGATGCGAGGATGGCTTGCTCCGACCGGGAGTCGTATGGTTTGGAGAACCCCTGCCGGAGAAGACTCTTAAGACTGTCGATGAGTGGATTGCGGCGGGTCCAATTGATCTGTGTTTGGTTATTGGCACCAGTGCGAGGATCTGGCCAGCTGCGGGGTATGTTCACGAGGCTCGTTCCCAGGGCGCACGGGTTGCTGTGTGCAACATGGACCCTAAGGATACTCCGGGTGAGCTTCATAAAGGGGACTGGTTCTTCCAGGGAGATGCGGGTGTTATTGTGCCTGAGATACTCAAGAGCGTTATTGGCGAGATTTGAATTTGATGGGGAAATGAGAACGACAAAATTCAACAATGGGGTTTGCATAGACTGGCGATGGTGGGACAGACGGATGAAAAGGAGCTGCGGATTTCATAGGAGTTGCTGTTTCAGGGTGGATTTACGGAGTTTTGCCATTTCAATAGTGAAAGGTCTACAGCTGAGACTCTGAGACACTAATGCCGTAGACAAATGACGATTATGCCTCGGGTACCCCAATTGCAAACCCCCCCCCCCCCATGAAATGGCCGGATAATGCGGTGATCTAGCTGTGTCGCCATGCGGGGTTCATATTTTAGAGCTGCATAATCCTAGACATTCAAGGGGCTGACAGTTGAATTCTGTTTCTAACCAATTGCAACTCAATTTTAACATCTGGACATACGCGATGAATTCGACAAAACCAGTACCCCCTAAGAGAAAGAAGGTAGACAGCGATGATGAGGACGAGAGGGTCAAAGATGGCAATCTTACATCGGCCGCTGGGAATTTCTTCGAGGCGCTGTGTATGTCAAAGCTCCATGTGGGTCCATACGAAAGGCTGACATGTCTCCCAGCTGAGGCCGGTGTCACTCACTGCTTCGTCAACCTGTGAGTCTCTGTACTAACCACCAATTTGATGTGTTTTAACCGGTCCGATAGGGGAAGTGACCATCCCGCAATGCTGGAAGCAATGATCCAGGCTCAGCAAGGTGAGTACCGGAAATGTTATCCAAAGAACCATTAACCGGGCTGTATTATGGTAGAAAACAACCCCATTTTCCCAAACATCATTACCTGCCCTTCCGAGCTAGTTGCGCTATCAGCTGCATTGGGATATGCTCAAGCCACAGGAGTTCCGGTAGGCGACTATGTCCACAAAATGAATTGATTTTCATTAACTTCTCGCAAGCAATGCGTAATTGTGCATGTCGACTGCGGGACTCTAGCTATGGGACAGTCAATACATAATGCCTCCGTTAGCAGAGTTCCTGTTCTGTGTTTTGCTGGCTTGAGTCCTTTTACCCAAAATGGCGAATTGTTGGGTTCCAGAACAGAGTCAACAAGCCCAAGAGAGAAAACATATATTGAGCTTACTGACACTACCTCAGGTTCATTCATTGGCTACAAGATGTACCCGATCAAGCAGCGATTGTCCGACAATACTGCAGATACACAGGTGAGATAAAGACTGGACGTAATATCAAGCAGATGGTCTCGCGAGCTTTACAGTTTGCCTTATCAGACCCCAAAGGCCCAGCATATCTCATGGCTGCGAGAGAGGTACTCGAGGAAGTCAGTATTTGCAGTTCTCGAAATTCTTCCAAGTTGCCACTGACCAAATCGGCTATGCAGCGTGTGGGAATAGAAGACCTGGACGGAGAAATTTTCAGTCCAATCACTCCAAGTGCATTGCCAGAAATAGGTAGATTATTACTGATTCAAAGTATAAATCACATCGCTTACAGCAGTAGAGGTGGAATTAATTGCCAAGTCGCTCATGAGCGCAAAGCGACCGCTTGTTGTCACAAGTTATCTTGGTCGAAACCTCCAAGCACCAGCCCTCTTAGCTGAGCTTTGTGACAAGCTTCCAATCACCGTCGTTGAGATGGTCGGCTCTGACGTTTCTCTGCGAAGTGACCACGAAGCGTATCGCGGAGTTACCGTTACTACTCATCCGGAGATTCTTGAAGCTGATGTTATTCTTATTCTTGATTGTGATGTGCCCTGGATTCCAACTGCTGGAAAGCCTCGGAAAGGTAATACAATTTAGAAAGTAATGTTTGATTGCTGTTCTGACAAGCGCTGCAGGAACGAAGGTATTCCATCTTGATGTCGATCCGCTGAAGCAGCAGATGCCACGTTAGTTCACAGATCAACCCGCCGTGCTGGCTGTTTATTGCCTTCTTGCTGATGATAAGGTATCAGTCTTTTTAATCAATGCCACTCGCAAGTTCAAGGTTGGCTGTGGAATTGCGCTTGGACAAATCAACGCTTTCCTGGATAAACAGGATATCGATCGGGCTAAGTATACCCTGCAGTTTGAGGAGCGGTCGAAAGACTACAAAATCTGGAGGGAAACTCTAAAAATGGCTGAATCACCATCTAAAGACGGTGTAGTCAGTGTGCCCTATCTGGCATCAAGACTGCGAGATTCTCTTCCAGAAGGCACCACCTATGTTTTGGAGGCTGTAACCAATGCAGGACATCTCATCCACCATCTAAACTTGACCAAGGTATGTACTCTTGGCAAACTCCCAGCTCAATGCTAATTAAATTCCAGCCAGGAAGTCTAATTGCCAGCGGCGCAGGTGGTCTGGGATGGGGAGGTGGTGCAGCACTGGGCGTCAAGCTCGGCAAGCCAGGTTCATTCATTTGTGCAATGCACGTATTCACAGTTGTTGGAGAACATATCCAAAATCTAATAAGCGCCTAGTGTCGGTGACGGAGTCTATCTATTCTCGCAGATGGAAAGCGTCTACTGGATCGCCAGGCGCTATGATATTCCCTTCCTCCTCATTGTGCTTAACAATGGCGGATGGAACGCACCAAAAGTGTCTGCACTTTTGGTTCACAAGGACGGGTTATCATCGAAGTCAAACAGACGAGGTTAGTCAGGCCTAAATTAAATACAATGTGTGCAGTGAGCTGAATTACCGCAGATCTTAACATCTCGTTTGACCCTTCTCCGGACTACCCCGGAATTGCTGCCGCCGCCGGTAAGGCGTGGGGTAAGACAGTCAGTACGCAAAGCGAGCTTGATCCTGCTATTAACAAGGCGGCCGATGTTGTTCAGGGTGGAAAATGTGCTGTCATAGAGGTTTCGTGAGTAGGGATAATGATTCTTAACTGACTACAGCTGACTTTGATATATAGTGTTCCATCTATGTGGAAGGAGAACTAAAAGAAGCTGCTAGAGAGCGAATAGGATAAGCCGTCATTTTGTTGGCTTCATGATGAGTCTCATTTGTTGTTGTTTTTGTTTTATGCTGAATCGGCGGTGTCTGCCATGCATGGTTAGGTCAGGGAATTGAAGTAGCGGCATGTTTCCTCACATAGGCGCAGCACCAGGTTGTTGGAAGTAAACCTGGGGTTTCCAGATTAAATCGATCGCTTGGATTACTCGACAAGATGATGGTTCTGTCGTGTTTCCGAAAGAAGAGAAAGGGATGAAGTAGAGGATGATGCTGTTGTTGATATGAAAGTTGAGATGAAGTGAGAGCGATAGTGAGCTAGAACTTAATTTATAGATGAAAAAGATCACTTTCCTCTGGTGACTTCAATTCCAGTACCTCGATCATCTGAAAGACTCGATTGAGGTGATATTGGAAGACAAGATTATTTGTATACATCTTTCCTCTCTGCAACGTCTCTGCAACATATTGTGTCGTAGCTAGCAGAACAGAAACGATTGATCGCAAATCGCGAATATATTTCTTCCTGCTAATCAAGGTTTTCACATGTGATTTGTGATAGCGAGATGCTAACATGAGGTTCAAAGTCCAAGGTAGTGAAAGGTTTCCATAAGTGAAGCGTGCCGTGTCAACGCATGTCATGGTCCTATGGAACGTAGTTGTTAGAATTGCCGGAATTTGGTTCTTCGTCAAGTTTTCAGACGCCTGAGGAATATCGATAAGTGATTTCGTCTGCATGGGCAAGAGGCACTATGTTGTAGGTGTGACATTCTGAAAATGAGATGTTCTTCTTCTCTGCCTGAGGCATCATCCGTTGCTAGGCCGACCCCAGACAAAACGATAACCTTTTGGAATCGATAACGACTCTTTTCTCTTTGATACTCGCAAACCTCCGCCGTCGACAAAACACATCGGATTCAAGGCATCACCCAAGGGTCAGTTTATCCTTACCTGCTATAGTTGGTTCTGTGTTTTTTTGGAACTCGAAATTTCCATTCCAAGAGGATCCCCAACCCCACGAACCAGTCGAGCTCACACACAAAGAACACAAAAGACTAACGTCAAATTTCAGTGCTCTGAGATTCTCATACGTATCTTGATGCCCAAAGATCGGATTTTTCAAGCCTTGGTCATCCAGTAAATTCAACGAACCAACAAACTACTCACCTGACAAGATACCCTCCAAAATACACCGCTCGTTAAAATACGATGGCCAGAGAAAGCAACGCGCCATTGGTGCCCCTCACTCCAGGGGGGAAACCAAACGCTCAGTCTGGCCCCGCACATGTCCAGGAACCTGTATTCGGAAAGCCATCGCCGATCGGCCCCCCACAACACAGATCAAACCATCTTTTCAACATTCCAAAGCCCAATCAATCTCGTGCCGAACATCATCGACCCGCCCCTCGACCGCAGCCGCAACAACAGCCACAATCGCGCCTCCATGGTCAAGCAAGCGCTACGCCCCACGCTTATCGCCCACCGGGCACTTCGGGTGCCGCAGTCGCTACGCCGTCGGTGAAGCGAAGTGAGCCATGGGACCCATTCAAGCCAGTGGCACCATCGGCCTACAACAATACTCGCGGAGGAATCCCCCACGGTGCAGTGAGTATCAAGCGACCTGAAAATGTCACCTGGACAACTCCTCGTGCCCCTAGGCCTATCTATCAATCCAAGCCTGTTCCACCGAAGATGGGAGGCGGGTTGAAGAACCTGCAGAAATTTATAGATCTCACACGCGACGACACTGATCCTGTGCCAAGGGCTTCAGCCTATGCAAGTCCGAGCTTCGGTGCCATGGATATGAACGGCTACGTGGATACGGCTATGGCAAACGAAAACATCAAAGCTTTGCTTGAAGGTGCATTCGAAGACGAGGAGGACAAGGCCGAGGCGAAAATTAAAGGCACGAAGAAGAAGGGTGGAAAGAAGTCCAAGAAGTCGTCAGTGAACAAGCAGAAAGATGAAGTCGTCGTGGACAAGAAGAAGGACAAAGCGATTGACGATCTTGATGATCTTGCTGCACAACTCCAAGGGGTCACGGTCAATGACTCGAATGATCAAAATGCCAAGTCTGAAGATGACTCATCTGCCAAGGTCGTACAAGACGACAAAGTTGCCCGGAAAGATGAAGAAGATGATGAGGTAGCAGAGGAGGTAGCAGAGGAGGAAGAGGAGGAGGAGGAATCCGACGATGAAGATGCTGGAGTCGTCGAAGGCTTAAAAGTGACCCTCCTGCCTCACCAAATTGAAGGTGTGAATTGGATGTGCGACAAAGAGACTGGCCGAAAAACAAGCAAAGGAATTTTCCCAAAAGGCGGAATTCTTGCGGATGACATGGGTTTGGGCAAAACCGTGCAAGCAATTGCTCTGCTGCTCAAAAACCGCAAATCCGATCACGAGAACAGCGACAACACCGAATCCGAGGGCAAGACGACCAAGCTACCGCCAAACTGCATTCCCACCACTTTGGTAATTGCACCTCTTGCGCTGATCAAACAATGGGAGGCAGAAATCAAAGACAAAGTTGAACCGTCCCACAAGCTGAGTGTTTGCCTCTATCATGGTACAACGCGCGCAAAGTCTTCGACAATGTTGGATAAATACGACGTTGTAATCACAACTTATGGAACTCTCACCTCCGAATTCAACTCGTCAGCATCAGACAAAGCCAAAAAGGCGGGCATTTTCGCGGTTCATTGGTACCGTATCATTCTTGACGAAGCACACACAATCAAGAACCGCAACGCCAAAGCCACGCAGTCAGCATATGCACTGGATGCCCAATACCGCTGGTGCTTGACAGGAACGCCATTGCAAAACAACCTGGATGAGTTGCAGAGTCTGATCAAATTCCTCCGGGTGAAGCCCTATGACGACTTGGCTGCATGGAGAGATCAAATCAGCCGGCCTTTGAACAATGGTTGTGGAGGCCTCGCTATCCAAAGACTACAAGTTTATCTGAAGGCCTTCATGAAACGGCGCACGAAGGATATCCTCAGACTGAACGACAATGTGAAGCCTGGCGACGAAGGAGCAGGTGGTAAGCCAAAGAAGTCATCGAATGGATTCCACATTACCAAGCGTGAGGTCATTAAGGTGACTCCCGAATTCATGCCTGGCGAGTTAAACTTCTACAAACGGCTCGAACAGCGGACGGATAATAGTCTTGCTAAAATGATGGGTGGTGCTAAGGTCGATTATGCTGGAGCTTTGGTTCTGCTGTTGCGTCTTCGCCAGTCTTGTAACCACCCAGACTTGGTCAAGGGTGATTTGGCCAAGGACAAGGATATTCTCTTGCAGAATGGCAGTACGAACAACCAGTCAACACAGTCAAACCCGGATGACCTTGACAGCATTGCCGATCTCTTCGGGGCAATGAGCGTCGTCGCAAAGAAATGCGATGTTTGCCAAACGGACCTGAGTCCGAACGAAATCAAGAACGGTGCCAGTCGATGTGGTGAATGTGAAGCTGACTTGAATATCAATGTTATGGGCACAGAAAAAAAGAAGAAAAAGAAGTCGAAGAAGAGCCACACGGAGCTTGATGTTCCAGACTCCCCGTCAGCCCGCAAATCTGAAGCACAAATTGCTCGTTCTCGCAAAAATCGGCGATTCATTATTGACAGTGACGACGAAGATGAAGAAGAGGGCGACTGGGTTGTACCCGAGGACCAGCGCAAGATGCCTAGCCTCGGGAAAGCAGGTGGTTCGGATGATGAAAACGCCGAAGGAGGTGGTGAATGGCTCATCTCGGACGATGAAACTGATGAGGAGCTCGAATCGCCCTCCAGAAGGAAGAGCAAGCCTATCGTTCTGAACGATTCCGAGGACGAAAGCGATTCTGAAGCGGATGACATCTACAACGATGAAGGAGAAAACGGAGAGCTTCCATCCACCAAGATCCGCTATCTTATGCGAATTCTCAATCGCGAGGCACCGGACTTCAAGTTCATTGTTTTCTCGGTCTTTACATCTATGCTTGATAAGATCGAGCCCTTCTTGAAGAGTGCCAATATCGGCTTCGCCCGCTACGATGGTGGAATGGCAAATAATCACCGAGAGGCCAGTCTCGAAAAGCTCCGTAATCACGGTGGCACTCGTGTACTGCTCTGCAGTCTGCGTGCCGGTGCATTAGGTCTCAATCTGACAGCCGCTAGCCGCGTCGTCCTCTTGGAGCCCTTCTGGAATCCCGTAAGTTGCAGTTTTCGACTCTCTATTGCGCATTGTACTGACCTTGAATCTAGTTTGTGGAAGAGCAAGCCATCGATCGCGTCCATCGCCTGAATCAAAGCGTTGACGTGAAAATCTACAAGATGGTCATCAAGGGTACCGTGGAAGAACGCATCGTTGCCCTGCAGGATCGCAAGCGCGAACTGGCCAATGCCACCATCGAGGGCAAGGCCGGCGCCGGCAAGCTCACTATGCGCGACATGATGGCGCTCTTTGGCCGTGACGCAGAATCCCAATTCTCAGGAAATCAGAACACCCTGGACTTCAACCAGCCTACTCGACTGCTGAACACCGGGGATGAGACAGAACCTGTGCATTCCTCCTCCCACGAATCAACGCAGTCTGGCCCACGCAGCCGGGGAAGGGAGGTCAAGCCTAACCGGCCACGAAATGAGGATTCGGTCTATGGTCGACGATGGTAATCGGATGCTGGTAAACAGCATAGTACGAATTTATGAAACGATATACGGAGAGACCTTTTGGGGGAGTTCCGGTTTGCATGAGGAACGTGTTTGAAGTCTCCCTGCTAAATTAATCTCATTTCTTGTTTTTCTAATCTATCTTATTGGTTCATCCCGTACATCTGTATTTCAAAACTTGTGTTCAGTGTCCTTCACTCCCTATACTCGACCTAGGTGGCTACAAATCAAAGGAGTGGTGGAACCTTGGTCGTTTGATGACTGGCTTCGCGCCTCCCATGTATCCGGAACCTGTGCCCGCGAGTCAGATTCCCGTCCAATTTTAGAAATGGCGATTTCACAATGGGGCTCGGCATTGTGGTCCGATTGGAATATCTGCGGTCCTGAATACCCAATGCCATCGCTATGGATACGTGCCTCTCAAGATTCCTTGTAAGGGTGCTGTCCTCTGTTTGACACTTGTGGGTAACCCCAACCTCTATGACATCTTTGGACTTCTCAAAATTTGACACGGCAGGGTATGAGCTGATTGAGAATCCAGTTGTCAAATCGAAACCGGTTTTAAGTCGCGGATCCACACATTTGTTATACACTCATTGAGAAGACTCCTCATCCTTTGTGAGATATGATTTCTATTCGAGTTAAGCTGATTCTCGATGGGCCGAAACAGATCCCTACATGTTAGGGTCTATGGTTCTGGTCCGGAATCGCCGAGGCTCGCCCTCGTACGCTCCGAATTGATTGCAGGTAATACCCCTGGGGAACTTTGATCGGATTACACTGGCACATGGGATTTGCCAGCACACTAAGAAATGCCCTAAAGCTAGGGTCAGCGCGATGTTTTGCACCTTCTCGAATGGTTGGTAGTTAACTTCAATCCAGGGCCATCCAATCGACCAGATGACTTGCCGAGGCTCATACCATGGATCTCAGATTCTCGTCCAAAGGACTGCGAGCTACTTTCTGACGGTAGTTTCCAGCGAACCGGACAAGGGAACCGAGGACATGCTCCCAGCGAGGAAGCTTGTTTCTGGTGGCTCATGCTTTGATAGGTCAAGAGCTCACAGGAGAAAGCATGAGGTGGGGAGTGAACCCCTTGGTAACCCCAGGTAGAGCATAAAATTCGTGGAGATCTTTCAATCCCCCATTCGGTTTTGTGTGGTCTTCTTCGTACACTTGGTGTGCTGCCCAAATCACCCTTAAAACACCGTAACCCCAATGTTGCGAGACCTTGCTTAACTGCGTAGATCCATCGATACCGTTCCGTGAGCTGCCTCCTGTCAAACTCGCTGCTGGGTTCTAGCTAACACTGGAGGTCTTCTTAGTTCGAACCATTCTCAACTGTTCTCTCCGCCGCGGATTGAATACTGAGATATGTCTTTACCGTCCGATATCAAAGACAACGACAACTGGACGATCATTTATGATGACCAGAATGAGGATAATCAAAATGTCAAGACAGAAGAAAAGCCTTCCAGGAGGAGGCAGTCTCTCGCGCGAAAGTTGTCTATACCAAAGTCAATGTGTATCATGTCTGACAACAAGACTGAGATATCCACAGTAGCCGAGCTACTATCCCCGAAGTTGAAAATGCCTCAACTTGACTCGGCGGAAAGAGTCTTTCCCATTCGCTCGGTCGTCTCGTTTGATTCCACGCCTTCGTCTGCCCTGCAGACACCTTCCATCGATAAGCTCGAAGCACCCATGTCTCCTTTTTCGGACACATGGAGTGCAGGCTTCACCAACGAACAAGCTGGCTCCCAGCAAAAGAGTCCACCCGGGAAGAGCATTGACCCTGAGGATAGTAACTCAACAAGACCGGACTATCTCACTCGACTGCACCAAAAGAGTGGTGGCGGCAGCCGGATTTCATCAATGCTGGAAGAACAATCTCACGCCAGCCACAATCTCGACAATCTGGCACAATTAGAAAGCACTGTGCAAAACGGTGGCGATGTCCTTGACTTCCACAAGGTAACGGAGGGCATGTGCTACTCGCGTGAAGACGAGGAGGATGTCTTTATTCAGTCATTCGGTGCACTCGTTGTGATGACAGAGTCCGACGGTAATTTTGAAGTGCAGATAGCGAGCGAGAACTCCCAGGAAACTATTGGGCATTCTCCTGGAGAACTCTTTGAGTTGCGGACATTTTGTGATGTATTGCCGTCCTCGCAACACAGCAATTTTCTTGTTCATGCTCAATTCGTCTTGAGCGATGACTACATTTTCGAGGACTCTGGCCCTGAGGTTTTCTATCTTTCCGTGCTTTCATCTGACGGAATTACCCGGGATACTTGGTGTACGATGCATACGAGTACACTATATAAGAACTATGTGATCTGCGAGCTTCAGCCTGAGGCTCGAGGGACAAAGGATCACCCCAATTTGGAGGGTCCCGGGAGTCAAACGAGAGCATCTGATAACCGGAGCTTGGATATGACTTCTGGGGCATTTTTCGAGAATTTTCATCCTCCGGGAAAGGATCTGGATACCAGAAACTGCAAAGTTTCGGACTCATCAGAGCTTCTCAATGCTATCCCTCGAATTCTCCGGCGACTGTCAAATGCTCAAACTTTGGAAGCCCTCGTTCAACACACCATCACCACTTTGCAAAGTCTAGTTGAATTTGACAGAACGACCATATATCATTTCGATAGTGATCGTCACGGAACCGTGGTCGCCGACGCGGTTGATGCTTCTTCAGGGTTAACTTCGTATGAAGGCATGCATTTCCCAGAGTCAACCTTCTCCGAAGGTCTGAAGAAAACGTATACACGCAATACTGTATGCTTCTCTTGTTCAGGAAGTCAAGGTACTTCGAAGCTGGTGTATCGGGCTTCCACCAACAAAAGGCCCTTTGACATGTCAAACACCTATCTCTCTGCAGCACCGGCGCTCTCAACGCCGCAGACCCACAACCCTGTCAGGGCCTGTTTGTCAATTCAAGTTATAGTTTTTGGCAGGCTTTGGGGACTTATCTCATGTCAATCCTACGATAGTGGCCAAAAGCTCCACCCGCTCATACAAAAGGTATGTTGGTTCGTGGCTGAGGCCGTTTCAAGCAACATTGAGCGTCTGTCCTACTCCTTGCCCTTTCAATCCCGAGAAGCGGACATCTCCCTGAATGAAACGAGCACAGTTCAGGCTGTTAAGACTCCACCCGGTGATCTTCTCGGTCTGTTTGGGGCAGACTATGCCGCAGCGTCAATATTGGGAGAGTCCAAGATATTGGGGAAACCAATCGACTCGCAAGAGGTTCTGGCATTGTTTGAATACATGAAAGTCAGAGAGGATGACACGGTGTTTTGGTCCAGAAATATCGCGACCGATTTTCAGGATCTCAACTACTCGCCTGGCTTCCATCATATTTCTGGTTTGCTTTACGTTCCTCTTTCAGTGGACGGTCGTGATTTTATCACCTTCTTCCGGGCAGGTCTAGAAAGCAACAGCCGTGCGTCTGATTCTGAAAGATTGAGTCGACAAAAAGAGTGGTCTTCCACAGAGTTTGGAAAGGCATCCGTTCTGTCTTTGCTCTACCGAACTTTCACCAACATATGGCAAGAGAAGGAGACTACACTACAAAACAACCAGCTGATGAGGCTTTTACTCGCTAATTCTGCGCACGAGTTCAGAACACCTCTCAATGCCATCATCAACTACTTGGAAATTGTTCTTGATGGCTCTCTGGATCAAGAGACACGAGACCACATTTCCAGATCTCACTCAGCGTCTAAGTCATTGGTATACATCATCAATGATCTGCTAGACCTCACAAATGCCGAAAATGGACAACGGTTGATTAAGGACGAGGCCTTCAATCTTTCAGAGACCCTCACGGAAGCAACAGACATTTTTTGGGAAGAAGCAATACAAAAGCATGTCGACCTACAAGTAGTCCAACATGCAGCCCTACCTCCCGTCCTCGGAGATCAAAGACGAGTACGCCAGGTGATCACAAACCTGATCAGCAATGCCATACAGCACACATCGACCGGGGCAGTAACAATCGAGTCTTGTGTCGTAGCAGAGCCGCTGGAGTCAGATCACATCTGTGTCGAAGTGGCAATACATGATACCGGGTCTGGCATGTCCCAAGAGAGCGTTGAAACCTTGTTCTGCGAGCTGGAGCAAATATCCAACAAGGGATACATGCAGAATCCCAAATCTTATGAACGCAATCCAAGTGGCCAATCATTTGAGACCGAAAGTGTGCTTGGTCTAGGACTCGCGCTGGTCGCCCGAATCGTGCGCAATATGAACGGGCAATTAAGCTTGAAGTCGGAAGAAGGCAAAGGGAGTTGCTTCAAGATCAGGCTTGCGTTTCCTCTTCCAGATGAAGATAGTGGTCAAAAGCAGAACCCGTGTGCTGCATCAAACGAACCTCAGCAGGAAGATAAAAGAAGAGAAGAGACGAAGCAAAACATCATGTCCTCACATCGCGTAACAAGTCAGAGAGAAGACGGTATTCCATGGGAATGTGGTCAAATTTCAGAATTTGAGCCAGGCAAATCCATCGTGACTGTCGATGTAGGCTTGAGAACCGGCGAGGCAAGGAACCTCTCCCTTTCAGGCCAACGGCTCGAACAGAACAACCAGTCAGATAAACCAGCCACTAGGAATAATTCTGAGCACTCGTCAGAACCATTCAACCCTCCAGTCAAGGAAACCTCGTCGATCCCACCAATCACAAAACCCCCAGCCAATCAGTCCCAAATCCCCCAACCAAGCGTTGCTCCTACAATGAATTGGAACCTCCACGTCCTCGTCGCAGAAGACGACCCAGTGAACAGTACAATCGTGCAAAAGCGCCTGGAGAAATTCGGCCACACAGTGCACATGACAAGCAACGGCAAAGAATGCGCATATGCGTACAAAGAAAATCCCACTCGTTTTGATGCAGTGCTTATGGACCTACAAGTAAGCTCACCAAACAATTGATTGATTCCTGACTCAACATGAGTATCAATACTCAACTTTTCATCCACAGATGCCTATCGTCGATGGCCTCGGTGCAACACAGATGATACGCGAATTCGAGCAGCAAGAACTAGCTAATGAGACCACACCTGCGCCTCACATTCCCATTTTCGCTGTCTCAGCTTCCTTACTCGAGGAGAATCGAAAAATCTATATGGACTCGGGCTTTGATGGGTGGGTTATGAAGCCTATTGATTTCTACAGGGTTGATCGGTTGCTTGGCGGTGTGAGGCTTCGATGGGTGCGGGAGGAGGTTGTTTATCGGCCTGGTGTGTGGGAGGCTGGAGGGTGGTTTGAGGCATAGAGCAACATCCTTGGCATGGTATCAGAGTTGAGATGGAGGTTATTTTGACTCGAAGAAACAGCTGAGATGGGGGAAGATCTCCAATATCCAGATGGCAATTGAAATCACATGCAAAGAAATTCTATTCGCTTTCCATGGTATCTATGCAAACCAAAAAAAAATCAAAACGCATAATGCAATCAAATGTAGATTAATTATTCAGACATTCTCCGGTAAACCAGCAAAGTCCGGCACTGTATCACCGCATTTGAATGAAGGACTATATGCCTTGCTTGGCATATATCCATTCTTCCATGCAGTGCGATAGCTCCACTGCGCGGCGGACTCCGTCCGCCAGGTCCAGTAGAACCATCCCATCGCCGTTTCAAAGGCAGACATCTGTGCCTCGGCATAGGTCTGCAGGAATTTCTTGTAGACAGTCGAATACTCGGATGGGTCCTGGTTCGCATCTGCACAGCTGCATGTTCCCTCGGCCGCTGTTGGGCAATATGCCGTCGTGGAACTAGTGTCGTAGGTCCCTTCCCATCGGGTACCTCGGCCGACATTGTTCACATACTGCGCGCAGTCGGTGTCTGCCTGTGACCATTCGCCGCAAATAGTTGGCCCCCATCTGGTTTTGTGTTAGCACATTAAATTACAACGAAAAGGCAGCTCAATTTACCCAGAACTTGTTACGTTGATCGCCTTGATCATGGGTTGCCAGCTATCACAGATAATGTTGACCTTGGCAGTGTGATTCAACACAATCTCACCGATGTTAAAGGTAGTGTATTGGTGGGTGTCGAGGTACATGTTGTCTGGGTGTGTTTTAAACATGTCATCCCACTTGGCGAGATTTAGGAATCCATCATGCAGGACAAGAGTAGCAGTGATACCATTCTTGCGGACGAGTTCTGCTGCCTCCTGGGTCCAGTCTAGGACCTTTTCGACGGGAAGAGTCAGCATCAATGGCTCGTTCACCAGACCGTAAATTGTCACCACGTTCTTATACCGGTCTTGAGCAAAGAACTGCGAAAGCTGGTTGTGAATCTCAAGTGACCGCTTGCGGTTGAGGGCACCGTCTATGCCGACCAACCAGTCGATGCTGCCCTGCCGACCACTATGGTTCCAGCCATTTTGACTGCCGGGTAGTCCGTGAAGGTCAAGTTTGATCCGCAGCCCATACTTGCGACACCACTCGATTGCACGTAAGAGGTATCGCCACGCAATCTTAGGGACGTATGGGTCGTTCTCGTAGGTGGTCACGGCCCAGTAGGAGTAGGGAATGCGGACATGATCCAGTCCGGCTTCCGTGATTTCTTTTATATCTGACTCTGTTATGAATTCGGCATAATGTTTCTCAATTGTGGCCGCTGCGGAGTTTCCGAGCTTTTGAGTCAACGTGTACTCGTCGATGATACCAGCGCTGGATGGCCACTTGCTGAACAAGGACGGAGCGATGAAGGGTTCGATAGACAGCCATCCGCCTAGGTTGACTCCACGAATTGGCTGTGTACCGTAAGGGAACGCCTGATTAAGAGGAGGTACATTGTCATTCACTTGGGCAGAGTCATCCCAAGTCGAGTTGATGCCCATGACGGAAAGACCACCCACAGTAGCATTTGTGAACGTGAGGTTAAACCCTTCGGTCTGATACCACGTAAATGGATCCAAAACGGTGCCCTTGGCGTAACTCTAAAGCACTATTATCAGCAAAGTCCACCAAGGAAGTACACTCAAGTCTTACCGGTATGCTGTCGCGACTGATGCTGCCCAAATTAGAGGTAGTGGAACTGCCACTAGAGTCCGAAGGACTCGGCTTAGGATCCGAGCCTTTATTTTTTGACGCAACAATAGCAACTGGGATAATGATGGCAAGTAAAAGGAGCACTGCCAGTAGACATCCGACCAAGACACGCTTTTTTCTCGACCATTTAGACCAGAATTTCCATGCCGGTGGTCCTCCACGGCTCTCCAAGCTGCCCTCCCAGCTTTCTTCGTCTTTCCAGTGATCTTCCACAGCAGGTCCACCACCGCCACGACGACGAACCCGAGCATCTGAGCTATGACCTTCTTCCAAATAAGCACCAGATACAACTCGCGCGCCCGCGTTATGGCGTGAGCGACCTTCCGTAACTTTAGCACCAAGCGCCGCACCAGCAGCATCCAAAGCAGCTCGCTTCCGCTGTCGTCGACGCTCCCGGCGCAAATCGTCTTCTCCGCGAGACTGTTCCACGCGGCCCGCATCCTCGAGCTCGGCAGCAAGACGTGCCATGGCATCCACACTCAAAAGGTGCGCAGCACTACTCGAAGACTCAGTGCTGTGGTGTTTCCTCGCCGGCGACGCAGCAGCAGCATCGAGTTCCCGCTCGCGCTCACGTTCCCTTTCTCTTTCGCGTTCACGCCGTCTCCGCCTCCGCGCCTCAGCCTCAACATCAACATCCCTCGTCCGTCTCTCCCGAGCAGGACTCGCACTCACACCCTCCTCCCTGCGATCTCTTCTCTCCCGATCCCGGCGTTTAGAAGGCGACGCAGCAGGCGAGTCCTCCACTCTTGGACTCCCCCTCTCTCGTTCCCGTTCCCGCTCCCGTCTCTTCCCCTCTTTAGACTCCCCATCAACAAGACCAGCTACCTCATCACAATCCTCCTCCCTCCGTCTGCGCCTCCGTTCTCTGCGCCACTCCCGCTCCTCATCATAATCATCACGCTCATTATGCGAGTTCGAGTCGTACCCTGATTCCCCGCGGAAACGGTACTTCGCAGTGCGCGCATTTCCCGGACTGGATGTTGCGCCTTCGTCGGCGTCCTCGTAGCGGCCGCGGATATACTCGCGAGCCCGATCTCGGTCTCGGTCTCGGCGACGCGAGCGTTCTTGCTCGCGTGTGTGGTCGCGATCCCGATCCCGATCCCGATTCCGATCCCGGTCGCGTTTTTCGGGTCGGTCTCGTTGGGATTGGCCGGGCATGCCAGATGGCGGGTAGTGGGGGGGGGGAGTTTGGTGTGGTATGTGCCAATCGCTGGTCGGTGGGATGGGAATGTGGAATTGATAGTTGTTCGTGGGGATGGCGGGTTGAGCTTAGGAGGTAAGGGGAAGCAGGGTGAAGAATGGAATATGTGTTGAGCTTGGGTCGGACACGTGGGATGTACCTAGTTGGAATTGAGAAAGTTCAGTCGATCTTGGAATTGGAATTCCTATTCAGATGGGTCGGTATAAGCTGGTGTATGCTTTTTTCCCCACATGGATCTTGCCAAGAGATTGTATTTAAGTCTTAATGGCTTTGTGTTTATAGGTTTTGCTTCCTATAAAGCCCTTCATACACGAGTGCTTTATGAGTAGCAAGTTTAGTCTGTCAAGGCCACGCGTTCACACTGATACCTACTTTGTTTGTTTAGATGTGAATGGCTGCGGAGCAATAGATGAATGTTCGAGGCTATATACATGTACAAGGTAGTACCAGTCAGTATTCGAGATTATGTGGAAGATACAACTAATTTTATATATGTTGAAAAGCAAAGAATAACATTAGACACACCAATCCCAATCCCAATAGACATCCAAGCTCCGGTCCATTCTAACCAAAATAGAAAATGTTCATCTCAACGAGTCAGGGTATGGAAACTCCAAAACACAATACCAGGTCAAAGAAAAACATCATTGTGAAGAGAAAAAGGCAAAAATGAGTAAAGCCAACTGAAATAGGACTGATATAAAAAAAAGGGGGAAGCAAAGCGCAATTCTGGGTGTTAGTGTCTGTCATGAGTATCTGTACAGCTGTGAGGGGAGGGGTGAGAGATGGGGGAAGGATGATATATGCAAGTGACAAAGATTAAACAAAATGGTTCTCGCTGTGTCCGGGGAATCTAATAGAATGAAAGGGAGATGGTGCCTCGAGCACTGCATCTCTTGCTGCAAAGGTGTAACGCAGAAAATGCATAGCCGACATGCAGAATACATTCGGACGGAGTCAGGAAGGATGCCTCTCTCCGGCAGCTCCCAATTGGGCGGGAACCGGAACGTGTCGAAGTGGTGGCAACCCGGCCAAAGAATTAGAGGGGGCATTTGATCGTTGGCCTCCTTGAAAGGCAAACTTGGGATGGACATTGGCCTCTCTGGGCCGGTAATTCAAACTCATGTGAGCCCACATAGGTTGGTGCAGTAGCCCATAATTGTGCGGAAATTTTGTCAACAGCGACAGTGCCACCCGCACACGCTCCAAATTGGGTTTCACCAAAGGCCAGCCTTTCAGCTGATGATCTGTCGGGCTCCCTCTTTGCCCAGAACGCCTGGCTCGGTTGGCTTAGGGCTGCGATCGCGACCCTTCTTCCGACTGAAGAATGACAGCATGCCATTAGCCTGCTTGCCCTTGTCATCACCACTCTCAATTCCATCGGCAGGGACGGAATTATGGGCCAGCTCACTCCAGCTGCCAGCTTCGTTGAGAACCATTTGCACGCCTCCGCTTTTACTCATTTGCCGGGTGGCACCGCGTTGTCGATTGTGGGGAGGTGGAGCCCGGTGAAAGGACGGGGCAGGCGGCGGTGAAGGCGACACGCCGTTTGCAGGGGAAGTGGAAGGCTGACCAGTCGCGGAGTCGTTGGGGTCGAGAGTCTCGCTGGCTGTAGTAACGTTTTCATTTGGTGGAACACGGTGAGGCGGGCCGTCGGCTTGGATGGGAGATATATTTTTAGGGTCGGGTTGTGAGATTTGGCGGGCATGTACGGATGGGTTCGCTGGGTGTGTGGTGTTCCCTTGGGTTGTTGTCGCCATTGGAAGGCACTCCTCGGGGTTTCTGAAAGACACTGTTAGCAGGAGGATGGCCCTGATGGGGAGAGAAACCCACGTTACGGCAGCAATAGCTTCCGCGGCATTGCCTTGGTAGCTAGTGAGGGTGTAATCAAACGGTTCGAACATCGTTTCAATGAGACGATGGAGCTCATCATCCCGAATTTCTTTCGCAGTGGCATCGTCCCTTAGTTCTGCACGCGGCTTTTGCCTGCGCGCTCTAGCCTCCAAGGGCGCTTCTTCAAGAAGCAGCTCCTCCAGATCATAAGTCGCATCAAAGTTGGTTTTGTCGCTTGATGGTCGGAATACTGGCGGGATCTGTTTGCGCTCCAGGGCATCGAAGTCGATTTCGGCGAAGAACATGTGTGAGGTGTAAGTCTCAAACCCGATAGCGCCAATTCGTTGACTCCGGTCTTTTTGTATCAATGATCCTAACGCCCGCAAACAAGCTACTGATACCGCAGGATTGGTGACGTAATATTTTGGCTGTGCCTTTTTGATGTTCTCGCTCAAAGTCTCTTGGTTTCGGCCTTCAAATGGTCGCTGCGCTCAAGGTTAGACTATAAAGTAGACACGCAACGAGTCTCTCATACCTTATTGTAGATGCACTCGTAAAAGGTGACACCTAATGACCACCAATCCACCTCGAAGGTATAACCACTCCCTTCATAGACTTCCGGGGCTAGATAGGCTAGTGTTCCTGACTTGCTTGTGAGAGGCTTCCCCGGTCGGTAATCTGATGCCACGTTCTAGATATTCAAATTAGGCGAAGCTCCGGTGAATGCGATCCACGCGGATAGGACTCACAAAATCAGCCAAGTGAACATGTCCATCTGAATCCAACAGGATATTGTCTGGTTTTAAATCGCGATGAATGATACCCTGCGAATGGATATACTTCAGAGCACAGCCCAGCTCCGCCATCCAAAATCGCACCGCATCCTCTGTGAAGCATTTTCGAGAGATATGGAATCGAAGATCGCCGCCATTCATTAAATCAACCACAATATAACTTCAACTCCATCAGCGAGGAGTTTCGAGAATGGATTCAGGAATACTCACATGTACTCCATGTCCTGGAAACTGTATCGCAAATTGCAAAGGAACGGATGGTTCAAGTGTTCCAGCATTCGCCGTTCACGAATTATATTCCGCACGCTTTCCGAACGGACCACTAAAACGAGTGTCAGCTATAGCTCTCTCATCTCAGCGGCTATGGAGCTCCCACAAACCTTCCTCTTTGCGGATATATTTTAAGGCGAATGTGAGACCTGTGTCCTTTCTTTCCACAATTCGTACTTTTCCAAACGCGCCCTTTCCAACGACACGTAGGAGCCTGAAATGATTGAGGTTGACTAGTAAAGAAAAAGCTATTAGCACATTGTTCGAAATAATCCTCGGTGACTCAGGTAGTCCCAAAGACGACCTATCCAATTCGATCCCAGCAGACTTACCTGCATCGTTGCAAGACACCGGTTTCCCCTGAGTATTTCCCATGTTGCCAGGATAGACCGATGATTGAAGTGTTTAAAGGTTGACTAGTCTCTTGCTAGCAACATCACACTTGTCCCCAAAGTCCGCCGGTTGAATGTTGATCACGTCAGCAGCGATAATCGGGCAAATCACGAGTGGATAAAGGAGGCAGATTTTTAGTGAATTTTGAGCTTGTTTCGTGATTCCCATAAAGTGACAGAATTCCGAAGGTAGAATGGCCGAGCGGGGAGAGGGGGGGTCAAATGTTTCAGAGTCGGCGAAGATTATCGTTGCAAGTCTAGATGTGAAATTCGTTTTGAGATCTAGGCAAGGCTAGGTGAAATGAGAAGACCACCAGAACTCTTCAAGAGAAAATCAAGCAGATCTTGGGGTTCCAAGCCTGCAGGATATGTATATCAAGAAAACCTGAGGGCGCGGGAGCTCAGTCGCGATGCACACAGATTATGGGTTTAAGAAAAGAACCCACAAAAAAATGGGGTGGGATAGGAGAAAATAGAAGAGATAAATATGTCAAATGACACAGCAATAACAAGAATATCCCAGTCCACTTTGATAAGTGAAGCAAAGATGAAAGAAAGGGGATGAAGCGGGTGAGCGGTCTGGGAGAAGCGGCAGTAACTAGGCCAATCACGCGTAACGAAGAAAATGGGGGCAAAGGGGGATAAACTACGGAGTAGCCCGGGGATTAATGAAAGAAAATGGGCTTTTAGGTCCGCATCTATGCTTGTTCTGGTCTTGGAGGCCTTAGGGCTTAGTACACTGTGTTACTGCTCTTCAAGACTAGTTCATTTGTCGAAGATGTTGATGTTCCCCGGGTATCTGTGTTTTTGAGATCTTGGCAGATAGCTTGTAGATATGCTGTTGGGCATAATGACATTCACATAATCCCCTATACAATTTCCGAACATCGGGCTCACTACTTCGGACAAAGTGCGAAGGAATTGAGGTTAGGTGGAGAGTACATAGCGTTGGCCCAGTTCGACCCGCTGAGCGGAGGCGATGATATCCGCTAACAGAATGCACAGACTTTTCTAGGTGACTTGTCCATTCTTGTCTTTTAATCCTAGACGAAAATCCCGGCGATCAAAATTCAATTTGAAACAGGGTTCTTTAAGGGGAGTTTTGGGGGGGGGGGGGAGGGGAGAACGGTAACGTACTCGC